ACAGCACAGTTAACTGGGACCTGTTGAATTAGATCTCTGTCAAGACATTCAGTACAGCACAGTTAACTGGGTCCTGTTGAATTAGATCTCTGTCAAGACATTCAGTACAGCACAGTTAACTGGGACCTGTTGAATTAGATCTCTGTCAAGACATTCAGTACAGCACAGTTAACTGGGTCCTGTTGAATTAGATCTCTGTCAAGACATTCAGTACAGCACAGTTAACTGGGACCTGTTGAATTAGATCTCTGTCAAGACATTCAGTACAGCACAGTTAACTGGGTCCTGTTGAATTAGATCTCTGTCAAGACATTCAGTACAGCATAGTTAACTGGGACCTGTTGAATTAGATCTATGTCAATACATTCAGTACAGCCCAGTTAACTGGGACCTGTTGAATTAGATATTTCTGTCAAGACATTCAGTACGACACAGTTAACTGGGACCTGTTGAAATAGATCTTTCTGTCAAGACATTCAGTACAGCACAGTTAACTGGGTCCTGTTGAATTAGATCTCTGTCAAGACATTCAGTACAGCATAGTTAACTGGGACCTGTTGAATTAGATCTATGTCAAGACATTCAGTACAGCCCAGTTAACTGGGACCTGTTGAATTAGATATTTCTGTCAAGACATTCAGTACAGCACAGTTAACTGGGACCTGTTGAATTAGATCTCTGTCAAGACATTCAGTACAGCACAGTTAACTGGGACCTGTTGAATTAGATCTCTGTCAAGACATTCAGTACAGCACAGTTAACTGGGACCTGTTGAAATAGATCTTTCTGTCAAGACATTCAGTACAGCACAGTTAACTGGGACCTGTTGAAATAGATCTTTCTGTCAAGACATTCAGTACAGCACAGTTAACTGGGACCTGTTGAATTAGATCTCTGTCAAGACATTCAGTACAGCACAGTTAACTGGGACCTGTTGAATTAGATCTCTGTCAAGACATTCAGTACAGCACAGTTAACTGGGAACTGTTGTGTGAGAGCGAGCCAGCATGTTGTAGCCTACACTGAGCACCGAGCACAGAATGGCAAGGTCTGAAAGAAATGACTTAACATGCTAGCTGACCTCACTATGAAACAAAGGACAAGTCACAGCGTCACGCCACCAAACAAAGAGCTTTGTTTCCAACAGGAAAACAGACATGACACGACCAGCAAGTAACCAGCACAGGGCTTGACATGAACTTTACTTGTCTGAAAGCTCAAGTCACTTGTCCACCTAAAATAAAATACAAATTCTGTAACACCGTGGGCCAAAAAGGTGACTGAAAATGGTGTTGTATGATGCAAGGAACCACTTCACAAAATAACCTTCATTATTGTCACTGGTATTGTTAAAAACGAAAAGCTGAAATGTCTTGAGTCAATAAGCATTCAACCCCTCTGTTATGGCAAGCCTAAATAAGTTCAGGAGTAAAAATGTGCTTAACAAGTCACATAATAAGTTGCATGGACTGCAATAAGTGTTAAACATGATGTTTGAATGACTACCTGATCTCTGTACCCCACACATACAATTATCTGTATGGTTCCTCAGTCGAGCAGTGAATTTCTAAAACAGATTCAACCACAAAGACCAGGGAGGTTTTCCAATGCCTCGCAAAGAAGGGCACCTATTGGTAGATGGGTAAAAAAATAAAATAATCAGACATTGAACATTTAATGTCGAGCCCTGCAGCATATCAACATTAACACATTTTAACATGAAGAAAATACATTTGAGGTGGCATTTGTAATTTCTCCATATTGTTTCAAGGCATCGATAGACTTTGATTCTATTTTCTCAATAAGGTCTTAAAGGTGATTTCCATATAGGCTACTACTACCTCTCTAGAGTGTTCACTACAATGGACCTTATTCCTGTCTTGGGGATCCCACTGGGCAGCTTCCTACAGGTCTCCACCTAGCCTGTGTGCTTCAAACTCCAAAGAACCAGCGGAAGGTTATCTATAAATACCTCCAGTCCTCCATGCTGTGACAGGAGCCAGGGAGAATGTCACAGACCCAGCGTGCGTGTGAGTGTGTGTGTGGGGCGAGCGGGAGTGTGTGTGTGGCGAGCGGGAGTGTGTGTGGGGCGAGCGGGTGTGTGTGTGGGGCGAGCGGGAGTGTGTGTGTGGGGAGCGGGAGGGTGTGTGGGGGGAGCGGGAGTGTGTGTGGGGCGAGCGGGAGTGTGTGTGGGGCGAGCGGAGTGTGTGTGGGGCGAGCGGAGTGGTGTGGTGGCGAGGGGAGTGTGTGTGGGGCGAGCGGGGAGTGTGTGTGGGGCGAGCGGGAGTGTGTGTGGGGGAGGGAGTGTGTGTGGGGCGAGCGGGGTGTGTGTGGGGCGAGGGGGTGTGTGTGGGGCGAGCGGGTGTGTGTGGTGTGGGGCGAGGCGGAGTGTGTGTGGGGGCGAGCGGGAGTGTGTGTGGTGGGGCGAGCGGGTGTGTGTGGTGGGGCGAGCGGGGTGTGTGTGTGGGGCGAGCGGTGGTGGGGGGGGGGGGGTGTGGTGGGGCGAGCGGGTGTGTGTGTGGGGGGAGTGGGAGGTGGTGTGGGCGAGGGTGTGTGTGGGCGAGGGGTGTGTGTGGGGCGAGCGGGTGTGTGTGTGTGGGGCGATGTGAGGTGTGTGTGGGAGGTGTTGTGTGGGGCGAGCGGGGTGTTGTGTGTGTGTGGGGCGAGCGGGTGTGTGTGTGTGGGAGGAGGGGTGTGTGGTTGTGTGGGCGAGCGGTGTGTGTGTGTGTGTGGGGCGAGCGGGTGTGTGTGTGTGGGGCGAGCGGGTGTGTGTGTGTGGGGCGAGCGGGAGTGTGTGTGGGGCGAGCGGGAGTGTGTGTGGGGCGAGCGGGAGTGTGTGTGGGGCGAGCGGGGTGTGTGTGGGGCGAGCGGGTGTGTGTGTGGGGCGAGCGGGAGTGTGTGAGCTGTAAGTGAGAAGAGGAGGAGAGTGAAGAGGAGGAGAGTGAAGAGGAGGAGAGTGAGGTCATGCAGCTCTGGGTCCATCTGTTTGGAGAGAGGGTCTGAAGAGAGGATGGGGAAGGAACATATAGTAGGTGATGTGGGATGAGTGAGGTGGTAGTTTGAAGTGGTGGTAGGTGAGTGTGAGTGGTGAGGTGAGGGGATGTATGAAGTGAGAGAGAGGAGGGTGGAGAGTGAGAGTGAGGAGTAGAGCTGGGTCATCGTAGTTGAAGTGGTGAATGAGGTGGTGGTGTGGGTGGGTGATGTGTGTGAGGAGATAGGTGGAGTGGGGATGAGGTGGATGGTAGTGAAAGTGGTGTATGAGGGTGGAGTGAATGGTGGTAGAGACGTGGAGTTGGAGTGTGAGTGGTGTCTGCAGTGGTGGTGTGAAGTGTAAGAGGGTGGATGTGAATGCGTGGTGAGGTGCAGTGTAGGGTGGATGGTTGTGCAGTGGTGAGTGCGGTAGGTGGTGGTTGTAGCCCGTGGTGCGTGGTGTCGGGTGGTACGTCGTGGGCTCGTTGAGGTGGCGGCTGGGGTGGTCGAGTGCTCTGTTGAGGGGTGAGGTGCGTGGTGTCGCGGTGGCTTGGGTCGTGGTGGTGCTGGTCCGGGGCTGTCGTGCGTGGATGCGTGTGCGCGGTGAGCTCGTGTGCCCTTGAAGGTGGTGGTCGGGGGTGTCGTAGTGTGCGTGGTGAGGTGGTAGTAGGAAGAGTGGGTGGATGCCTGGTGTGAGAGGTGTGGTGTAGTGAAAGTGGTGAGGTGGGTTGGGTGGTGAGCTGAGGTAGAGGGTGGATAGTAGTGAAAGGGTGGGTGCGGGGTGTCTGAGTGGTGAAGGGTAGAGGTGGATAGTAGTGAAAGTGGTGAGATGAGGTAGAGAGGTGGATAGTAGTGACAGTGGTGAGATGAGGTAAAGAGAGATGGATAATAGTGAGGTATGAGGTAAAGAATTGAACAGAACAGAGTGGGCGTATAGGCCAAGTAGAAAGTGGGAGACAGAGAGCATGGAGAGACTAGAGGGGGTGTGTAGCAGGGGGAGGTGTAGGAGCGTAGCCTAATGTCTGTCTTTCCCGGATGAGGTTGCCTGCTGTGAGGCTGTTGATGTTGCTGCTCACAGACCACAGTGTGCTTCCTCCTCTGTCACGCTAGCAGCTACAACCAACAACTCCCTCCACAACTGCTGAGAATATGTGCTCTGCAATCAGCTCCACGCAAGGATCAACATATGAGGGCTAAGCTTGGGGTTTATTCAGGTGGCTGAAACGTTAAGAGGGTTGTAGGTAGAAATGTAACATGATAGAGCAGGTATGCTCATTCTCTCATATGGAATAGAGTGCAGTATCCTTTCTCTCTAGTACATTTCTATCTATACTGAACAAAAATATAAATGCAATATGTAACGTTTTGGTCCCATGTTTCATGAGTTGAAATAAAAAAATCCCCAAAGTTTTCCATATGCACAAAAACATTATTTCTCTCAAATGTTGTGCTCAAATTTGTTTACATCCCTGTTAGTGAGCATTTCTCCTTTGCCAAGATATGCCACACCTGTCAGCTGGATGGATTATCAAGAAGCTGATTAAACAGCATGATAATTACACAGGTGCACCTTGTGCTGGGGACAATAAAGGCCACTTTGAAAATGTGCAGTTTTGTCACACAACACAATTCCACAGATGTCTCAAGTTTTGAGCGAGCGTGAAATTGGCATGCTGACTGCAGGAATGTCCACCAGAGCTGTTGCCAGATAATTTAATGTTCATTTCTCTACCATAAGCCGCCGCCAACATTGTTTTAGAGAATTTGGCAGTACGCCTAATGCATTTATTTCAATTGACTGATTTCCTTATATGAACTGTAACTCTGTAAAATCTTTGAAATTGTTGCGTTTGTATATTTTTGTTCAGTGTATAATCTCTCATCTCTTGTCCACAGAACTGAACCAGGATGGGGATGGTCCAGTCGTCCACGTGAGCTCTGTCCAGGACCGGACGCTGTGGAAGAGTGCTGAGAGGCTTGACCTCTGACCTACGCTTTGACCTCAATCCTCTGAACTCTGACTGCTTCAGCTCAGGATGGAGGAGCAGTCCAGCTTCCCCAATGTCAGCATCCCCTGCTACAATGAGCAGAGGGACAAGAAGAAGCGCTACACTGTGAGTAATGAGTATAGTGTTGCTGTGGCAACGGCTGTTCAACAGGCTGTATTACAGACTGCAGTATAGACTTTATACAGACTGGTTATTTGAGATCGTTTATTATCAGTAGAAAGTAGGGCACCGAAGTATTTTGTCTAGGTCTATACTAAAATGTGTTTTCCCCCACATTTGTCCAGGTTTACAAAGTGATGGTCAACGTAGGAAGACATGAGTGGTTTGTCTTCAGGCGATACGCAGAGTTTGACAAGCTCTACAACACAGTAAGTGGAAGTGTTACTGTGTGATAAATACATGTTGTCGTAAGACTCCAGGCTTCCTTTCTTACTCAACCTTTTCACCAGAGATCCGCTGACTAAACTGGGCAAAGCTCGATTTTGATAAAAATAGAATCCGTTATCTTATCGGATGCTTTAGCTTTTGGTCACTCAGTATTTTTCAGACTGTGAGTGGGGATTTGTGTGTAGTTGATATTTAGAAAATCAGGTAATTCAACTCTCATAATTGGGAGAGTGAAGGTAGAGATGGAGAGGAATTTGGTCCCTATGACATCTATTTTTATATATCCTTTATATAATCTGATTTGTCTGTCTTTTTTTTGATGCAGTTGAGAAAACAGTTTCCATCTTTGAACTTGAAAATCCCAGCCAAGAGAATATTTGGGGACAACTTTGACCCAGGTACTGTATTGATTGATTAAAAGTTGTCTGATAAAAGTACAGTATACTACCTGTAACTGCACTCTATTATAACAATTTATTTAGTAGATCAGAATTCAATACAGACCCCTATGTTCTCCTGATGACCTTCAGCCCATTATTTTGTTTTATTTAAATTGTAAACAAATTAGCTCATTTGGGTATGACAAACTGGATTACAGATGACATGAAACCACACCAGACAAAATTAGCATTATATGTGCTTGTGTGTCTTGTCTGTAAATTGTCTTTCATTTGTGATACAGGGTCAATATCAAATATACTATTTATAAAATTGTCAATTTATTTTCTTAGAGTTTATCAAGCAAAGAAGAACAGGTTTACATGAGTTCATTCAGAGACTGGTCTCACATCCTCAGCTCAGTAGCCAGTAAGTATTCTATAACTGATCAACTAGCTAAATAAGTTATTGAATTAAATTGCAAATAAACCAAATCGATCTGCCTCACTTTATGCATGTGTGAAGCCCCCTAAGTAGGAAGTTACCCCTAGAAACTAATCTAAGGTCAGTTTTGTGTTTCTTCCCCTAATGGTTACAGTTCTCCCTAATGGTTACGGTTAGGATCTGGGGATGATGATTAGCTCCGAAGGGAGTATATGTAATCCTATCGTATCATGGCGGTATCTCCTGTGCAGTGTTGGGATTTGTTACTTGAAAAAGTAAATATTACTTGTTACATTTAGCAAAAGTAACATGTTACTTTACAATATTACTTTGTGTGGAAAGCAACACGTTATATTACTTTCTGTTACTTTCTGACCGTTTGTTTGACTGTCGGAGGGAGCAAGGCGAGCCGCTCTACCAAAAATATGCTACTTACTAACTCAGGTTGGATCACTAGTTTCTCCTTTCATCTGTGGCAATGCTTTCCTCTACAAGTTCTGCGCTATCATATGGGCTGCTTAATTAGCCATATACTGTAAGCCAAAGATCTGTACAGATTTCCTATCTTTTCATTCAAAATCTTTATCTGGAGCCGCCAGTTATGGTTTTAGACAGCACGTACACCGACCCATAGAGATGTATAGAGGGTCACTTGCCACTAGATGGGGAAAGCTATCACAGACGTGATGAATGGCAAAAATCAACATTTCAAGTTTCAAAGTTTATTCGTCACATGCACAGGATGTAAAACATGACAGTGTAATTCTTACCTTGAGAGCTCTTTCCCAACAATGCAGTGATAATAATAACATAGATAATAATAGAAAATATAATAAAAATATATTTTATGTATTTATTTTTACACACAAGAACTACGATGTAAGTTGGAGACACGACAATGCAAGTACATACACAAGTCAATGCCAGTACCTTATTCAATATGCAGAGGTACTGGAGTAGTTGAGGTGGGTTTATACATTAAATGGAGACAGCTGTCGTGACAGCCTTTCTCCGCTCGCTAGACAGCTAAATGAGGAAACAAGTTGAGATCGGATCAAGGAAACACGCACCCGGTAAAGATATGATTCTGAAAGTAACACGCGTTAGTTGACAAAGTAACTGTAATAATATTACCCAATTTGAAAAGTAACATGTTACTTTACTCCGTTACTCAAAGTAATCAGATTACGTAATGCATTACTTTTGTGACACGTTACCCCCAACACTGCTCCTGACCCAGTGATGTTTAACATGGAGTCTAAAAGCAGTGCTCTTCTAACAGCAGTGGCTTTGTGTATGTCTCAGTCAGACCCCTAACATGTGACCACTCTGCCCCTCTCTCTCTCACTATCTGATAGGCCTGATGTCAGAGCATTCCTGCAGATGGACAAATCTCAAAACTTCTCAGACGCATCCGAGGACGAAGATGACAAGGTAGATGATGACAGGACAGTATGATGTCTGTGGGAAGGAGATATGACTGTTGTTTTATAGATTGAGTTGTCACGTCTTGAAACTGAAGAAATGTGTCACATATGGCCTTGAGGGAGCATTGAACAACATCTCTGCTCTGATACAGCATGAATGAGTACTTGATTAAGTATTCTATGTATTGGATATTGTATTGTCAATGTGTGATCACTTATTCCATTCTACAACGATAACGCAGCAGTGTACAGTATTGTCATTTGAGACTTCCTGGTAGAATAAAGATTTAGACTCTATGGCCTCGCTTATGTAGAGTACCAGTCAAAAGTTTGGACACACCTACTCATTCAAGGGTTTTTCTTTCTTTTTTACAATTTTCAACAGTGAAGATATCAAAACTATGAAATAACACATATGGAATCATGTAGTAACCAAAAAAGTGTTAAACAAATCAAAATATATTTTATATTTGAGATTCTTCAAAGTAGCCACCCTTTGCCTTGATGACAGATTTGCAAACTCTTGGCATTCTCTCGACAACCTTCATGAGGTAGTCACCTGGAATGCATTTCAATGAACAGGTGTGCCTTGTTAAAAGTTAATGTGTGGAATTTATTTCCTTCTTAATGCGTTTGAGCCAATCAGTTGTGTTGTGACAAAGTAGGGGTGGTATACAGAATTTATTTCCTTCTTAATGCGTTTGAGCCAATCAGTTGTGTTGTGACAAAGTAGGGGTGGTAAAATACCAAGTCCATATTATGGCAAGAACAATTCAAATAAGCAAAGAGAAACGACAGTCCATCATTACTTTAAGACATGGTCAGTTAATCCGGAAAATGTCAAGAACTTTGAAAGTTTCTTCAAGTGTAGTCGCAAAAACCATCAAGCGCTATGATGAAACTGGCTCTCATGAGGACCGCCACAGGAAAGGAAGACGCAGAGTTACCTCTGCTGCAGAGGATATGTTCATTAGAGTTACCAGTCTCAGAAATTGCAGCCCAAATAATTGCTTCACAGAGTTCAAGTAACAGACACATCTCAACATTAACTGTTCAGAGGAGACTGCGTGAATCAGGCCTTTATGGTCGAATTGCTGCAAAGAAACCACTACTAAAGGACACCAATAAGAAGAAGATACTTGCTTGGGCCAAGAAACACAAGCAATGGACATTAGACCAGTGGAAATCTGTCCTTTGGTCTGATGAGTCCAAATTTGAGATTTCTGGTTCCAACCGCCGTGTCTTTGTGAGACACAGAGTAGGTGAACGGATGATCTCTGCATGTGTGGTTCCCACCGTGAAGTATGGAGGAGGAGGTGTGATGGTGTGGGGGTGCTTTGCTGTTGACACTGTCTGTGACGTATTTAGAATTCAAGGCACACTTAACCAGTATGGCTACCACAGCATTCTGCAGCGATACGCCATCCCATCTGGTTTGCACTTAGTGGGACGATATCATTTGTTTTTTAATAGGACAATGACCAAACACACCTTCAGGCTGTGTAAGGGCTATTTGACCAAGAAGGAAAGTGATGGAGTGCTGCATCAGATGACCTGGCCTCCACAATCACCCGACCTCAACCCAATTGAGATGGTTTGGGATGAGTTGGACCGCAGAGTGAAGGAAAAGCAGGCAACAAGTGCTCAGCATATGTGGGAACTCGTTCAAGACTGTTGGAAAAGCATTCCAGGTGAAGCTGGTTGAGAGAATGCCAAGAGTGTGCAAAACTGTCATCAAGGCAAAGGGTGGCTACTTCGAAGAATCTAAAATCTTAAATATATTTTGATTTGTTTAACACTTTTTTTGGTTACTACATTATTCCATATGTGTTATTTCATAGTTTTCATGTCTTCACTATTATTCTACAATGTAGAAAATAGTAAAAATTAAGAAAAACCCTTGAATGAGTAGGTGTGTCCAAACTTTTGACTGGTACTGTATGTCTGCGTTTTTAACCTAGATCATCTGTTCTCTCTCTGATTTACAGAACAGCTCTACCTCCAGTAATATTAACCTTGGACCGTCTGGAAATCCACAGTAGGTTACACAGTCTCACGTTGAATTGAGGCCTGCAGATATTTCTGTTGTAAATGTGTGTGTATTCTGGATGTATTTTTCCTCTAAGTAACCTTTGCAGGCCTTATCATAGACATTCATTTGTTAAAAAAATATATTTCTAAATACTTTCACTTATTTTGTTTGCTTACCTTTTTTGTTTTCCACATTTCAGTGCAAAGCCCACAGACTTTGACTTTCTCAAAGTCATCGGAAAGGGGAGCTTTGGAAAGGTATGTGATTATGCATAATTCAGTATATGTATATTACAGCCACTTTGAATGTCTTTGGTCCAGTGTTTAATTTCGTCAACAAAAATGGTGACTAAAGTATTATTCAAACACTTATTTTTCAGTGGCAATTGCCGAGACTATAACTGACTAAATAGTCCCCCCAAAAAACTATAACTAAACAAAAATAATTTGGACTAAAATGAGACGAGACAAAATGATCTCTGTGACTAAAATATGACTGCTGAGTGGACTAAACAAGAGTTTTTGGAGAGATTGAGTGATAAGCACAATGAATATTAGCAGCACAGATGTGCAGCGCATCTGTCCAGCAGTAGGAAGGAGGCGCCACACCCAGCACAAACAGCCTACATCAGCTGGTGAGCTGCGGGGGAGCAAGCGATGAGTGTGGGCAGACAGGCACCACTTCAGCTCCGCCTCCGATAATACACATCACGCAGGTGACTCTCTTGCTTCCCTGTAGCTAACCAGTCACCACCAGCCTTCTAGTTAGCTACCCTTTGCCTGGTTAAGAAACACAAACTGCTTTACAAAATTAAAAACAATAGCAGCATTGAGTTTAATAGTAAAACAACAGTCTAGCTATGTTTTTCTCTCTCTTGAGGTTAGAAAAGTAGGCTGTCTTTGAATTTGTAGTCTCGCTTAACCCTCCTGCTTTCCCCACTGCATTTCATAGCCAGGTTCTGAATCAGGTTCTGTAGCCAAGTCTCCCTCTTTTCCTCAGAGAAAACGTCTTTATTCTAGCCCGTATAACCCATAATACTGGCACTAGGTATATATTTGTTTGTGCATTGGCGGGTCACATTTTACATTTATAAAGCGTATTGTGGGCCGTTCTAAAGCTAGGCAACTTGCGTACCAGACCTTTAACCATTTTAATAGGCTACACCTTGTTCAGCCATGTTACCTCATTAGCTAGCTATAGCTAACAACCTGAGGCGCGTTCAGCAGGACGCAACATTTTGGAACTTCAGATAAAAATATGATATGTAGAACAAACATGCCTCTCTGACATGTTGAATAAGGAATAATGTTTGCTCTATTCATGGAATTTCTATCTGCAACGTTTGAGAACGTTTTGTAACTGAACGTGGCCCTGGTAACATTACCAGTAGCCTGCTGAACGTGGCCCTGGTAACATTACCAGTAGCCTGCTGAACGTGGCCCTGGTAACATTACCAGTAGCCTGCTGAACGTGGCCCTGGTAACATTACCAGTAGCCTGCTGAACGTGGCCCTGGTAACATTACCAGTAGCCTGCTGAACGTGGCCAGTAGCCTATATGCAGACATTTGTTGGCACAGAAAGAAAGGAAAATGGATAGCAAACAATTTATTGACTACATTTCTCCACACTACACTATATCTGACTGGGTAAATAACTTTATTTTGAGTTAATATGGACCCAGAGACTCCGACTTGAGCACGAGCACAGGGACTCGGAATTCAGCCATAGGGACTCATGACTCGACCATTAGTGACTCGGACTTGGACTCGGACTCTAGCACAGGGGACTGGATTCAGACTCGAGGTTTAGTGACTCGACTACATCACTGGGCGAAGCAGTCATTAGCCCCCGTTCTACTTTTGGACACCAATGTGGCTGTGGCATCTGGAACGTTGATAACAATGTCAATGACGTGATGGAGGTGCAACCCATACTACTTTGCCAATACTTTGCGGCGGCATCTGGTGATTGTACCTCTGTCTCTCTCTCGCTCTCGCTCTCTCTCTCTGTCTCTCTCTCTGTGCTTGTGTGCGTCTGTTTGTTTTGTATGTAATGTGTAATATCCATGTAGGCTGAATTAGGAATTTACATGGCCAGATAATTCTTATATAGTCTTATATGTTTGTCATATTTCTGCAGTTGGGAAGATAATAGGATGTTATGCAGAAGCTCCGAGACAGGATTGTGTCGAGGCACAGATCTGGGTTAGGGTACCAAAAAAATTCTGCAGCATTGAAGTTCCCCAAGAATTGGCCTCCATCATTCTTAAATGGAAGAAGTTTGGAACCACTCTTCCTAGAGCTGGCCGCCCGGCCAAACTGAGCAATCGGGGGAGAAGGGCCTTGGTCAGCGAGGTGACCAAGAACCCGATGGTCACTTTGACAGAGCTCTAGAGTTCCTCTGTGGAGATGGGAGAACCTTCCAGAAGGACAACCATCTCTGCAGCACTCCACCAATCAGACCTTTATGGTAGAGTGGCCAGATGGTCTGCACTCCTCAGTAAAAGGCACATGACAGCCCGCTTGGAGTTTGCCAAAAGGCACCTAAAGGACTCTGACTATGAGAAACAAGATTCTCTGGTCTGATGAAACCAAGATTGAACTCTTTGGCCTGAATGCCAAGCGTCACGTCTGGAAGAAACCTGGCACCATCCCTACGGTGAAGTATGGTGGTGGCAGCATCATGCTGTGGGGATGTTGTTCAGTGGCAGGGACTGGGAGACTAGTCAGGATCGAAGGAAAGATGAACGGAGCAAAGTACAGAGAGATCCTTGATGAAAACCTGTTCCAGAGCGCTCAGGACCTCAGACTGGGGCGAAGGTTCACCTTCCAACAGGGCAACGACCCTAAGCACACAGCCAAGACAACGCAGAAGTGGCTTCGGGACAAGTCTCTGAATGTCCTTGAGTGGCCCAGCCAGAGCCCAGACTTGAACCCGATCAAACATCTCTGGAGAGACCTGAAAATAGTTGTGCAGCGACGCTCCCCATCCAACCTGACAGCGCTTGAGGGGATCTGCAGAGAAGAATGGGAGAAACTCCCCAAATACAGGTGTGTCAAGCTTGTAGTGTCATACCCAAGAAGACTTGAGGCTGTAATCGTTGCCAAAAGTGCTTCAACAAAGTACTGAGTAAAGGGTCTCAATACTTATGTAAATGTCATATTTCATTTTTTTTTTTTTGCAAAGATTTCTAAAAATCTGTTTTCACTTTGTCATTATGGGGTATTGTGTGTACATTGATGAGGGGGAAAAAACAATTTAATCAATTTTACAATAAGGCTGTAACATAACAGAATTTGGGGTCTGAATACTCTCCGAATGCACTGTATGTTTACTATAGCTTAATGAGGCAATACAAATGTGATGTGACTAAAATGTAAGGCATTTAGTTAACTAAAATGGCCAACTGTTTTTGTCATTTTGACAATAACTAGATGAAATCATTATTCAAATGACAAAAATGTTACTAAGAATGATATTTTAGTAAAAATGAATAAGACTAGATAAAATCTATAAAAAAAGAGTGCCAAAATGAACATTGCTTTTGTCTTCGAGTAGTTCCCGCTAAAGAGAAACTCACAGCAACACAAACAATGAATATTGAAACAATGACGTTTTTAGTTTGCTCTTACAAGTGTGGTAAGGAATGCTGTTTTACTTCTTTGTCTATCAGTAGATGACCTTTCCATTTGGGAAGTGATAGTCTTACAGTTCTGTAATTTCACTGCCTCATTGTTGGTATTGTATTGTCCATGCTGTGGTAACTGGGGGGTTTTAACAGCATACTTTCTCTTCTCTCACCCCCTTGAAGGTTCTCCTTGCAAAACGGAAACTGGATGGGAAGTATTACGCAATCAAGGTCCTGCAGAAAAGGGTCATTCTCAACAGGAGAGAGGTAATTTATTCTGAAGTGTTATTGAATTGGACATTTTTCTTACTCTGTTTCTCAATGTTGGCTACATTATTTCTATGTTCACCCCACTAATACCATTTCTCCTGTTTCCACCAGCAAAAACACATCATGGCGGAGCGCAACGTGCTACTGAAGAACGTAAAACACCCCTTCCTGGTCGGCTTGCATTATTCCTTCCAGACCACAGACAAGTTATACTTTGTCTTGGATTTCGTCAATGGGGGAGAAGTGAGTAGTTTCACTCTTATGAATAATGGAGACACACAGTGTTGAGTCACTGAGCTCAAGGAGGGAAACCCAGAATAGTACAACACAGGAAACCTGCTGAAAAGGTCCTTGGGAAATGACCCCTGACCTGAGGGCCAGTGGTGCTAACCTGGGGTTGGAACCAAAATTACTTTCCAATCGTTTCGTTCTGAACAGAACCATTATTTTTTTCGTTCCCTTCTACTGTCCCGAACCAGCAAAATAAAGTTCGGAACCGTTTCGAACCAAAAAAAGTAGGGGTTTATATATATTTTTTTTTTTACATTTTTAGTTCGACATTAAATTACGAATAGAGCAGCTTGCTATGGAGCGGGTAAATGATTTAATCTATATAGGAAAGTCGTTAAGAGCTAATAGTATTTTGCCGTAACAGCATGGTTTAATCATAATGAGACACACACTGTGCTGCCAGTCACAGTGTAGGGCGCGAGATGCAACTGACATTTTGCAGGTGAGGAGAGATCGAGAGAGGATGGAGGAAGCTTGCCTTGAAGGGCATCTTGTCATGACATGCATTATCTGAATTAGGCCCACAGAATTATACCTACAGAGGAACTTTGAACTTGCGAATTGGTTTAGCCGTGGACCAGAGCTAACGCAACGCTAGCTAGCTAACAAGCTTGTGTGTGCAGCACTAGAACTAAAACACATCTAACCTTTTGTAGTTAATAATTCCAATGTGAAATGTGATAACTATTGTATCGTGTATCTCGCTGGGCAGAAATGTCCGCAATCAATTGGTAAACGCTGATTTACCACCCCAAAATACCCCCGCACAACGTCTATTTGCGCCTCTACCGGATGGAAACTACAAATGTAGATCCTTCAAACACCCCCAAACAGGGAAACAGATTCCAATCAAAGGTGTTATCACGTGCTCCACTAGGGCAGTTATTTATCTTATAACTTGTCCTTCTGGTAAAAATGATGTGGGTAAAATGAAGCGCGAATTAAAAGTAAGAATCTCTGAGCATCGTAGCACCATTAGGTGCAAAAACTCGAAGTACCCAGTTGCGGCCCACTTTTTGGAAGCGAACCACTATTTCGTCCCTTTGCTATATCAGCATCAAACATGTCACCCTCCCTAGGAGAGGGGGTGACCTTGACAATTTATTGTTAAAATGAGAGGCCGCCTGGATCTTTAATTTAAAGACCCTTGCTCTCGTCGGTCTCAACGTAGACTTTGATCTGAAAGCATTCTTTGATTATTGTGTTTTTGCTATCTATTGTAAATGTTTGTTGGCCTATGTAGCCAAATCGTATCTATGATCGTATGTTATTCATTCATGATTTTTTATATGTTCTATTTATATCTGTGAATCAACCAATGAAATCAAGCCACACCTTAAGTGTTCAATAAAAGGAACTGTGTCGTTGGTGGGAGCTGAATTTCCACATCCTGGCCATTAGTGCAACATTGGCCAATGTAACGCCTATAAAAATATTTATTAGCATTTTTATATCATTCTGGGACTGTCAAAAAGAGCCAAAACCAAGAGTGATTCATACAGGATGATTGTAATGTTTCTCTACCCTTGGCATAATGGCCAGTCTGTATAAATATTTTGAGAGTATTAAAATATTATAAATATTTACAAAAAAAGCTACTGAGGTCTATGGATTTCCCTTAGCCTACAAATCTGGGATCAGGCTATGTGCTTTAGCTAACTCCTCTCATTATCGTTGTCATCAGTTAGATAAACCACTGAATCTGTGTTGCCTTTCCAGTTTTTCCAAGGAGAAGAGGCTAATCTCATAGCTCATGTCATGTTGATGCTAGCACTTAGTTAATCCCCTCAATTTGCTGCTGAGTCAATTGTAATCGTGATGTGGAATTTGCAGACAGGGCAGGAAGTTTGACCCACGGCTCTGTGTCATGACTCTGCTACAATTGTTGTTAGCAACCTGGGCTAAATATCACGCCTAGCTCTTACCATGTCCATTAGTTCACTATGATGTACAGGTAACTGCCAAAATAAAGGACACCCTTGAGTAAATGAGGGATACAAAGTATATTGAAAGCAGGTGCTTCCACACGGGTGTGGTTCCTGAGTTAAGCAATTAAAACATCCACTCATGCTTAGGGTCATGTATAAAAATGCCCAGTTGCCCATTATTTTGGCTACCATGGCTAGAAGAAGAGATATCAGTGACTTTGAAAGAGGGGTCTCAAAGGAGCATATGGGGTTTAAAGGGTGTGTGTGTCTCAGTCACCAGATCTCAACCCAACTGAACACTTATGGGAGATTCTGGAGTGGCGCCTGAGACAGCGTTTTCCACCACCATGAACAAAACACCAAATTATGGAATTTCTTATGGAAGAATGGTGTCACATCCCTCCATGAGATTTCCAGACACTTGCCAAATCTATGCCAAGGCACATTGAAGCCGTTCTGGTGGCCCAACGCCCTATTAAGACATTTTATGTTGGCGTTTCCTTTATTTTTGGCAGTTACTTTTATTCCTCTGTGGTGTCTAACTGGCACTGTGGCTGTATTCTATGATTCCAGCTTTTCTTCCATCTTCAAAAAGAACGGACCTTTCCGGAACCCAGAGCCAAGTTCTACATCGCAGAAATGGCATGCGCACTGGGCTATCTGCATTCTCTCAACATAGTTTACAGGTACATGGATTGCGTGTATGTACACTGAGTATACAAAACATTAAGAACACCTGCTCTTTCCATTACATAGACTGACCAAGTGAATCCAGGTGAAAGCTATGATCCCTTATTGATGTCACTTGTTAAATCAGTGTAGATGAAGGGGAGGAGACAGGTTAAAGAAGGATGTTTAAGTCTTGAGACATGGATTCTGTATGTGTGCCATTCAGAGGGTGAATGGGCAAGACAAAATATTTAAGTGTCTTTTGAACGGGGTATGGTAGTAGGTGCCAGGCGCACTGGTTTGTGTCAAGAACTGCAATGCTGCTGGGTTTTTCATGCTCAACAGTTTCCTGTGTGTATTAAGAATAGTCCACCATCCAAAGGATGTCCAGCCAAGTTGACACAACTGTGGTAACCATTGGAGTCAACATGGGCCAGCATCCCTGTGGAATGCTTTCAACACCTTGTAGAATCCATGCCCCGACGAATGGAGGCTCTTCTGAGGGCAAAAAGGGATGCAACTCAATATTAGGAAGGTGTTCCTAATGTTTGGTATACTCAGTGTATGCATATGTAATGATGTGTGTGATTAGTAACCTTGCCTGAGCGTGGGCTTTGGCTCAACTAATATTTATTAATTCCATTCTTTTAGATGTGTTGTTGTGAATTGTTAGATACTACTGCACTGTTGGAGCTAGGAACACAAGGGTTTTATTGCACCCGCAATAACATCTGCTAAAGTGTATGTGACCAATAAGATTTGATTTGAATGTTTAACAGACACATTCTAAAGGTTTCCTATGCTGTGAAACAGTTTCCGCATGAACTATCCTGAGTGAGCAATGAACGCAACACACATCCCCTTATCAATTAGTGGGAAAAGTCCAACTTCAAATAGCATCTTTTGTGAAATTCCTGGAACTTTGTGAACATTTGAAGTGTTCCTTTTTTTTAAGCTGTCGGCTGTAGTAATTTTCATGAAGTCCAATGTCACGGTTGCAGCACGTGCATAGTCGTTCATTAACTAACATGTGTTGTTCTTGCTGTTGTCTGTGCCTAAATGTTTGTACCATGTGTTACAGGTTTTAGTTTTTCCATTTATGTTTTGAGGTTGGACTTTAGCACGTAGGGCGCACTGATTGGTGTCACCTCATTAGTCAGTACGTGTTACACCTGTGCTGGTTGCCATCTCGTTAGTGGGAAAACCCCACCTGTTTCGTTTTGGTTGTTGGTGAGTGACTCTTTGTTAGTTCCCGTTCTGTTTGAGTGACGTTTGGTTTTCTTGCTGGGGAACGAAACACATGTTTGTGCTGCTACCATGCTGTGTTGTCTTAGGTCTCTCTTTATGTAGTGTGGTGGTGTCTCTTGTCGTGATGTGTTTTTTGTCCTACATTTAAATGTTTAATCACCCGTTCCCGCAGGAGGCCTTTTGCGTCTTGGTAGGCCGTCATTGTAAATAAGAATTTGTTCTTAATTGACTTGCCTAGTTAAATAAAACACGTGAGGGCAATTTCCCTCAACACAGGTCTGTCCCCCATAGTCCCTCAAGCCATCCTCTTTGCCTGTCGCTTGTTTAGTGTAATGCTGGTTCAGTGACTCGTGTACATTGATATCAACCGGATGCAAATCGCTAAGATTAAAGAAGTAACTTCTCTTTTGATGATTGTTTTGAAATCCTCTGTTGCTCTTCAATTGGCCACTTACCCAGAAGTAGTAAGATAATAGCTCTTATAATCCATTAAGCACAGTTATATTATCCAATTACAGCGACTTTGATAATGTTCATGAGATGCTTGTTTATTCACAGGGACTTGAAGCCAGAAAATATCCTCCTCGACTTTGAAGTAAGTGTGACATCCTAACTCGTTTGCAGTGCATAAGTAATATGTTCTATATGTGGAGTAGCTTAGGGCTGTATGCAATCAAACCTGCATTAGCAATCTTTTTGCTTACAAAAAACTGCCCTCGCACAAATGGGTCTTGACAACTGAAAGCCTCCTCCCATGAATGTAGTCTACCTGGTATTTTAACATTACCCAAATTAATTATGCATATCAGTTTAACCTCAAGGAAAATTTTTACTTTAGTTTAGCCTTTTCTATACTGAACAAAAATATGTGAATGCTCAGTAAATGTATTCAGTGTTTACTACAAGTCAGTGGAAAAAATTCGGAGATATGAATGTATCAAACCAATCCAATAGGTTGTAAATAAAGCAAGCGTCTGTGTTGAAGCCTAATCCTTCACCAGCTAACACGAACGGCGGTGTCAGTTTCAGTTTAGAAGAGAATGCTTGTGATTTGATTGTTTAACTCATGCGTTTCCTAACCGGCCTTATTGAGACAGTGAGGAAATTGCAAGTGTCCTTAGAGTGCGCTACTCTCTGGCCAAAATTCCACAAAGACAATATATTATTTAGTTCTGACCTGAGGATAGTGGTGGCAAACACTGTCTAAAATTGTCCCTGACTCCCCTTCTTTAAAGGGACATATAGTTTTGACGGACTTCGGATTGTGCAAGGAAGGCATTTCCCAAGCCGAGACGACGAGCACATTTTGTGGGACACCTGAGGTAACGTTGAGCATTTAGTAGGGTAGATGAATACCCCTTTTTGTCCGTGTTTACATGACATGTCACACTTTTAGTGTCAAATCACTAATTATTAACCAAGGAAAGAAAGTGTTTGGAAAGAAAATGGTTAGTAGCGGGAGGAATGAGTGGTTAATATTTTTACATGCCTGTCTCCATTTTAGGTACAGTATACTATGTATAGAATGGGCATGAGTAATGTTTTCCAGGACAGCGTATGTAATAAGACATAATAATAACCTTTTTAATGTCTGGACCACTGTTCTGGATTGACACTGAAAAGGCCTGTCATTGCTAATCTATTTCACTTTCTCCTCTCCCCAGTACCTAGCTCCAGAGGTCCTGAGGAAACAACCGTATGACAACACAGTGGACTGGTGGTGTCTAGGATCAGTGCTCTATGAAATGCTCTTTGGCCTGGTGAGTTACAGTAGTAGACATTTGAACAGGCAAAATATGTACGGTCAGAACGTACCCTTGACATGCTGCCTGATCACACACTGCCTTAACACTAACACACATCTATCTCCCCTCTGTTCCACAGCCTCCGTTCTACAGCAGAGACACCCATGAGATGTATGACAACATCCTTCACAAACCCCTGATGATGCGTCCCGGCGCGTCCAACACGGCCTGGTCCCTCCTGCAGGCTCTACTGGAGAAGGACGGCACACACAGACTGGGCTCCAGAGATGACTTTGTGAGTGGTGACCCTCACAGCATGGCAGTGGCTTTTGGTTTTATGTCACCCATCTCATTTAGTTAGAAAATATTCCAGTGACCCACCATCATATACAAAGTCAGTGTCATGTCATGATGCTGCCCATGTAAGACGTTTTTTTTAATACTCCAGAGACCCACTAAATACACACAATTATCTTCCTGGAAGTCACAGGAGGTTGGTGGCACCTTACTTGGAGAGAACCGGCTCGTGGTAATGAATAGGTGGAATGGTATCAAATACATCAAACCCATGGTTTCCAGGTGTTTGATGCCATTCCATTTGCTCCATTCCGGACATTATTATGAGCTGTTCTCCCCTCAGCAGCCTACTGTGCTAGAAATCCCAAGCTACCATTTATTTAACACAGCAGTATGCCCCATAGTCTCCCAACTGTGACTAGTGTATTGCTGTAGCTGATGGCATCGGACTCCCTCTGGTGGAGAAACATTGTCATGACCAGGAGTTGCTCAACAGCTGTAGTGTCTGGCAGTGTTAATTTCTTCTTGGCAGATGGATTGCATTACATTGCTTTCATCAGTATGAAGTAATAACATTTGCCTTGGTCGTTCTAGAACAGAAATATATAATATCTATTCTCTTTTTTCAGAATGAGATCAAAGCACACAACTTCTTCTCGGCGATCAAGTGGGATGACCTGGAACAGAGAAAGGTTCCACCTCCATTCACTCCCAATGTGGTAAATGTTCTCAGGATTTAATCTTTCTGATGTATGACAACCCACACACACACCAGATGCAACACCAGACCACAAGCATGAATGAACTGATGTTTATGTTTCTTCCTCTTTCCGGTTTTGCAGAATTCTCCTTACGACATCACAAACTTTGATCCAGAATTCACAGACGAGACAGTTCCAAACTCTGTGTGCTATACTGAACATGCCATAGTCAACGCCAGCGTGATGGAGGCTGACGATGCCTTCCTAGGTTTCTCCTACGCACCACCCTCAGACGACTCCTTCCTATGAAAGACCCACTGTGAGGACCTGCCCCAGAGTTCTGTGAAATTGACTTAACCAGGGCTATACACTGACCTTTTTTTACAAGGAGCACGTGTGCACCTAATTTGAAAAATGTTGGCGCACACAAAAATGTAGGAGCACAATGAAAAATATTTTAGGTAATAAAGCTAGAATCCTTCATTCTTCTAGGTGCACTGGTCCCCATAAAAATTCCATGTCGCGCAGCAAAATACTAAGGCGCATATGCGAGCAAAATGGACGCGCTGTAGAGCCTTGGCCTTAACCCAGTATTCTTCTATCCTGGTCCTGGAAATCTACAGGGTATGCAGGCTTTTGTTCCAGCCCAGTAGAGCTTGTTGATTAGTGTATTTAGGCGTGTTAGTGCTGGGCTGGAACAAAGCCTGCACACCCTGTGGGTCTCCAGGATCAGGACTGAAGAACACTGCCTTAACCTGTCCTAATTCTATTGAATAAAAGGGAAGAATTTATATTGTGGATGAACCCATTTTGAGAAAAGGCAAAGTGAGCAGAAGTTGTGATCAGACAGCACTTACGAAAAGGGTTTGGGCTGCAGACTGTGTCAAGAAACCTTTATTTTTACCTAATGATATTTATATAACAGATTGTATTTTAAAGAAATGTCAGCCATCTTTCTTGACGCTTATTTGTTGTTGGCTCATGTCCATTTTGGTCGTTTGTTTGAAGAAAATAGAACATTCACAGTGTCTTCTTGTCTGGGTGGGGGTAAAAAATAAATCCCCAAAATAAAATCCCAAATGTATGTGGGGAGTTGGGATGAAAGCGCTTCCTCAAAATAATTTATGTTCCACTTTTAAAAGACTGGCCTTAATGAAATGACAGTGAACATGTCATTATATTCTTTCAGAACAGCTAAAAGGACATTGTCTCTTCCCTCATCAAAAGATTCTTCATTTTAATTCATCATAAGATCACTGGTTAATTGTATATTTAGTGCTTGCAGTAGGTTTATAGAGGTTCATTGTTAATTTGTATGGGGGGGTCCTCAATGGGGAATACTTAAGAGGTCACTGAATAGTCTTGTGTTGACAGAGGTAATTTCAGTTCATGTTTTTTTTTTTGTGTATATATAGACCTTTTCTGTAATGCTCCAGTGACTACTTTGCAAACAGGTGCTACGCCATCTGATTTCTTTCTATGTGGTTTGCTTGCCTGTCTGTATTATAGTTTACAAGCTCTTAATCTTGACTTAATTGACACTCAGCTATTCCTTAGAAATCCTCAACCTCAACCACCAGACTTTAGGATTTTCATACAATTTCTAACAGGCCTCATTGTTCAATACAATGCCTTGGATGTACTGTACAATAAAATAATAATTCAATGAACCAACAACTAGTTTGTGTGTTTTTCGATGTCTTTTTTATTACGGAGATGGGGGGACTTGTCTGTCTATGCCCTAAAGTTGGCGTTGGCGAGCGCAGTTCGAATGTTCAGGTCGCGTGCTAGCTTGACCGTGTGACTCTCTCTTCAGCCAAAGCTTTAGCTAGCTAGTCAGTCGGTAACAGAAAATGGAGGAAGTTTTCTTACTGAAAGAGTCAGTTTTGTATTTTCTGGACAGAAGTGGAGCTCTTCTTAAACTTGCCGAAGACTGCAAACCATTCAACGGTAAGTTTTAGGGGCAGTGGTAGGCTAGCTAGAGAGCGCTTTCGATCAGTGTTAGCTAGCTAATGGGATTGTGTGTGACTCCTGAGGACGGGGTAACCTAGGCAACCCTGAACCCACTCGGGGATGTGGTGACGTGAAACGCAGTCCTTCATAGATGACAGCAAGCTGTTAAATAACTGATGATTATATGTTAATTGATTGATTTAGCTATTATAAAGTCAACTCTAATGTCACCCAAGTTCCTATTTCCTTCAGATATCCAGCGAAATGAGGCTGTGTATCGGTTCTGTATCAGTGTTAACCCTTCAGACATAATAGAACTGGATCCTAGATTGGGTGACTGTGTGCTCCATGACCCCCTCAAAGCTACATCACTATTTCAATCTGTAAGTCCAAAACATCTCCCATTACATTACCCCTTATTCAAACCTTGAATTTGGAACATACCAGTATTTATGTTTTTTTTGTCACTCCTCTTTCAGGTTTGTTTTCTGTCAATAAAGACACTCTCCCTCATTGAGAAAATACACACAGAAAGTCAGGTGAATGTGATCCTGAAGTTTACACACCTGCCTCCGTTCCCTGAGTACACCATGGATCTCTGTGAGTTTCCCTGTGGTTATGGCCCCATGAGGCCCGTTGCCATGGAGGGCCTGGTCATCGCGATGACGAGGGTCACGAAGTACACACAGGGAGCCAGGTTTCTCTGTTCTGAGTCAGACTGCCCCTGCTCAACAGGTAGGCCTGATTACAAGTAACCTGGGTGCCACGCTATTTCTGTTTTCATAACATTACGGTAATGCCATTTACAAAACAATAAAAAATTCTGTAATATGATGTTATCCTCAGGGTTCCATCACATCAGAGTGCACGCACCCGGAGCCACTGAGTCAGCCACAGTGAGGAGTGACTTCAGCTGCCTGCTCTGCTCCTCTCACCTCAAAGAGGATATCAAGTTCCGGGTGCTGGGGGGTGAGAATGTCCCTAAATGATACTTGAAGAAGTAGCCTCACGTGTCATGCTTACATGTAGCTCGTCACTTCTTACTAGCACTGACTTTGCTGATAGCTACTTTATTGAGGAAACATTTACTTGAATGTGATTGTCTCACCTTAAGATGGATGCACTAACTGTAAGTCGCTCTGGATAAGAGTTTCTGCTAAATGACTGACCTTTGTAATGTAAATGTTAATGTAAGCATAATATGGTTTTGAAACAGACAAGCAGCTTGTAGAGCTGATCCATGTCAAAGCACTGGATGTCCTGAAAGTCCATCCTCCCAGCGCCCTCAGGTACCAGTCTGTTACCCTGTTTCTCAGAGGTAAGCTCACATAATAATGATAATTTTGCCCAAACGTTTTGTAATGTTCACATAATGCATGTCATGATTTCGTTTTTAATAGATGTGACTTCGATATCTCCTTAGAAAAGTAATTGTTAGAAGTTTGTTATGAATTTTCTATTCCTTTTCGATGACAAATGTAATTTTGGAGCCAAAATCCTGTGGGGGAGAGTTCAAGTAAACAGAGGTTTGAGTAGCCAGCCACGCAGTAGTGCCCCTGGGTGAGATATTAGGTGTTCCTGTGCCCTCCAATAACATTGTCCAGCCATTACCCCTGAGAGAGCAGTGATTCTCAGTGCCAGTATTAGCATATTCTGTTGACCTAGTCTTCTGGAGGAATTCAACACAGCGGGCTCACGTTACTAAACATATATGTTAATAAGTGTAAGGAACACTCATTAGTTGAATCGCACAACGCACACACAGTGAGATCTTTGTTCCAAGGGCCTGGTTCCTGTGTTGCGCTTGGCAGGGGTGTGTAGGTGCCTTGCATGTTCCTCAAATAATTAGGAGACTGCAGGACAGAACTGGACAACCCCTCTGAGTGTTATGGTTTTGTTTCCCTCACAACGTTGTAGATGAGCTGTGTAACTCCATGAGGATTGGACGTCTGTACAGGGTGCTGGGCATACCGGCCCATGTCCACCAGTGGCCCAACGTCACCTGGAGTGTGGAGGCCAATAGCGTTAAACCGTGGGAGCCTGAATGTAAGGACCTATATGCATGCTTACAATGGTATAGATCAGCTTACATTAAATCCTGTTCATAATCTATAGGTCTGGTTTTCAGCTTCTCTGAGAAAGCCATTCAAAGGGAACATGCATGTGCGTGGATGTGTGTCCTTGTGTGTGAGGACTGTGACCTCTGACTTGCTTATAACAGAACACAGTATGTGCAATAATAACACCTCACACTCCAGTAGATTCACTCCACCCCTCTTCTTTTCCTCCAACCACACCCCCAGACACTGGCACCATCAGCTCTAACTTCCAGGCCCTGTTGACGGCCACAGCCTGTTCCCCCTGGAGGTTCTCTGCCATCGTGGCTAACTCGTTTGGCTCCGCAGTGGTTCCCCCGGGCCTGTACAGCACTCTGAAGCTGGGCCTGCTGCTCAGCCTGGTCCAGGGCCGGGGGGACAACCCAGACTCTCTGCACTGCCTGGACCTGCTAGCCCTGACTACTGACACACTCATACTGGACAGGTCCTACATTATAGTCCTACATTATAATCCTTCAGTCAGACAGTCAATGAATCAATCTTTGAATCAGTCAATCAATCAACCAAGTTCTTAGGAAGCACAATACACTGACCAAATTACCAAAACAATAACATCACTGCAATAAAATTGTACTATGCCCATATTCAAGTCAACAGCATAAATGGATAGTTGAGAGAGCCAGCCTCCGTTACCCCCTGTCTTAGGCTGATGACGTACAGCCTGGGACTGGCTGGCCGTGGGGTGAGACACCCTGCGACAGGGGAGATGTTTGCCTCTCTTTCCCGTGATGATCACGGAGCGGGCACGGCTAATATCCACGCTGGCTCCGCCCTGCTGGCCACCGGAGGCGTCTGCATGCTCGGGGACCTGGGCCACCACAGGAAGGACAAGATGGACGCCCTTCAGTCAGGTACAGAGCCCTGCTTACCTTGTAGCCTAGGGCCAGCCTAGGGCTGTAGCTAATGTGTTGTCTTGTCAAAGCTATGAAACAATGAAGAAACATTATGGCACCTCCTATGATACACAAAGTATAGAGTAGGTTATTTGAGTGTATAAACCAAGGGATTGGTTTCACACTGGGCCTTTGCCTTCTATCCACCCCCAACAGTTAGTTCACCTTTGACCGCTCTCCCTCCCCACCCAGTTCTGGAAAGTCGGACAGTGTCTGTGATCATCCCAGGGAAGAAGTATGGAGAGGATGCTGACCAGCAGATCTCCTTCCCTGTCCAGTGCAGCTTCTGGGCCCTGGCAGACTCCACAGCCCCCTCAAAGAAGACCACCAGGAATGACAGTATAGTGCTAGGAACAGTGGTGGGCTTTCACTGTGTTGTTTAATTTACATTACGATTCAAATTTATTGGACTACTGCACTTGATAAATGTGAGTGCCTCTGATGTGTCCCCATTGGGTTGTTGTCTGATATGGTGATTCTGCAACAAATCTATTCCATGTGAGCAGTTTGAAGCCTTTTCTCCTACCACACAATGCCAATAGCACTCAGCACTGGCAGAGATAATGTGTTCCAGAAATGTCAAATCTCTCAGAGCCAGCCGGAAGGGGAGACAATTTATTATCTTCAGAATAAGTAGTTAATTGCTTCCACTCAGGGAACAGGCTGCCGCCCAAACAAACCCAGCCCTTGAGAATAGACAACGCCTTCAGGTTCCCCTCCACTTTGGCCTCAGTGCCAATTCAGGATGCACAAGAAACTGTAGTACTAATGTAGTACTTTAGTGGTAAATATAGTACTGGTAAATATTGTACTGTTAAATATAGTACTGGTAAATATATTAATGGTAAATATAGTACTGATAAATACAGTACTTCCATGTTAAGGTAGTAGGTCAAATTATTTTTACAAAATTAGCTACCAGCCACATAAAAATATGTTATCCATTGTGTGTGTAGGACATGGGCCCGGTCCCTGCCCAGCTTGCTGAGGCCTTTGGTCTGGTGATCCTTTGTCGGGAGGCAGGGGGAGAGCAGGCCCTGCTAGCCCAGACGGTACACACCCTCAGGCAGGCAGTGCAGCCCGGAGAGCCCCTCTACCCATCCTGCATACAGTTTACCACACAGGACTACCAGGAGGTAAACCACACAATACTGTACACACCATGTAAGGCTGATTTTCACCTTTTCATGTAATATATGGCACACATAAAATACATCTGCAAACTCTTAGTGCTTTTTGACAGACTACATTTTGACTTAACATTGTGCTCTTTTCCTTCACCCAGTTCCTGGCCCACGCCCAAGGGATCCAGACAGAGCTGAGCCCTGGGGCAGAGATGATGATCCATGGCTATTACATGGCCAGCAGAAGGGTCCGCTCAGACTCGGGCCATGGTGCAAAGGTGTCAGTGGCCTCCATCAAGCTACTGTAAGGGCATACCACTGATCGCATGCTGAGGGTTATTCATTTAAATCTTACCATGTTTCATATTTATGCACAAATCACCCTTTTACTTATTGTAGTGTTTAACTTGGGCATTTGTCAAATCCCTGATGTTAACAATGCATAAAATAAAAAAGGCCCTTCAAATTCTCAGGGCACCTGCAGCATCTTGTGCTTTAGCAGTGTTCTCTGTAATGTCATATTTCTCCACAAGGTGGAGCTCAATCATTCATTTACAGAACCTATTAATGGGTGCCTGTCTCAAAATACTATTTTTCATCTAGTTTGGAAAATCTTTTCAGTGGTGTCAGATTGTGTGAAAGTGCACAGTAAAAATAAACCCAATTTCATCAGGAGCACAATATATAAAAAATATTTTAAAAAGGCTAATCATTCAGAACTAACAGAGGCAGGTTTTTCCAGATCTGAAAGCCTGTTCCCACACGATGTGTATTTCTTTGCATAGTATCATTCTTAATGTTTATTTTGTGGTTATTGTGCATTGCCAGTTAATGTACCATTTATCACAGTAAATTCTGCTCAGCTCTTTTTGTTAGCTTTGGGCAACAGAATCAATAACAATATTTGTTTACTTCTACAAAATGTCCCTATGGAGACAGTATAATTGTTTTTATTGGCGTGTTTCTTCAAGGATCTCCCTGGCTGAAGCCCACAGTAAGCTGTGTCTGAGGAGCACAGTGCTGGAGGAGGATGCAGTGATCGCTGTGTTGCTGTGTGAAAACGCCATCACTCTCAGACACGGTAGGACACTCACAGGACCGGAGGCTACGTCAGCAGCCAAACTCATAGATCTCATTTGCTGCCATGTTGAAATCACCACTACCTTCACACAGCCTGGATAACTGACAGTACAAGAACAAACCCCTCCAGACTCTGCACCATTTCTAGTTATACTGTCGCAGTCCAACCTTGTATCCAGAGGGTTTGTCTGGGGACTACAGTGCCAAACCCCTAGGTCCAAATACAAAACAAAAGTGCACTAGGTCTTTATTACTCCTGTATAAGCAGAGAAAAATACGTCAGCAGAGCGGGGTAAATCTTCCTGCAGCCATGCCTTGCTCTAATTACATCTGTCACAGTGAGAGTAGAGACTGGAGAATCCAACCTTGTCAGGGGATGGTCTCTACAGGGGTCATCTCTAGTAATAGCTATAGGCAAGAGTGTATCCTGGCTATGATTGTCTTTGCTCTAGTAATAGCAGTCAGTGTGGACTGTAGTCTACATTTACCCTGATAGTTGGTCTGGGGACTGCTCCCTCTACGAACAGGAGCCTCAGCGCTCATTATCCCACCCGACGCAGCGTTTCCCTGTGACCTGTGTGACCTGGAAGCTCTCCACAGGCGAGACCTGATCCTGGAGCAGCTTCACCAGAGCATCATGCACTTTGTCTACGCCTACGCACCCGGGGCCACCAGCTACATCACTGAGGAGGAATAGGACCACAGCTAAGTAAAGGATATCGGTATGTTTCTATTCTATGTATGGGTTAGTGCAAAGCTTGTTTTATTTTGGGTAAAAATATAGTTTAGGTATCCAATAGAATTTAAATGGTGAAATTTGAGCTACTGAGTACAAAAATATAAATGCAACATGTAAAGTGTTGGTCCCATGTTTCATGAGCTGATAAATGTTCCATACGCACAACAGCTTCACATTTTGTGCACACATTTGTTTACATCCCTGTTAGTGAGCATTTCTCCTTTGCCAAGATAATCCATCCAACTGACAGGTGTGGCATATTAAACAGCATGATCATTACACAGGTGCACCTTGTGCTGGGGATAATATAAAATAAAAAAACACTAAAATGTGTAGTTGTCACAACACAATGCCACAGATGTCTCAAGTTGAGGTAGTGTGCAATTAGCATGCTGACTGCAGGAACGTCCACCAGAGCTGTTGCATGTTCATTTCTCTACCATACACCACCTGTCATTTTATAGAATTTGGTAGTACGGCCTCACAACCGCAGACCACGTGTAACCACGCCAGCCCAGGACCTCCACAGCCGGCTTCTTCACCTGCGGGATCGTCTGAGATTAGCCACCCAGACAGCTGATGAAACTGAGTAGTGTCTGTAATAAAGCCCTTTTGTGGCGATGAACTCATTCTGACTGGCTGGGCCTGGCTCCCCAGTGGGTGGGCCTATTCCCTCCCAGGCCAACCCATGGCTGCACCCCTGCCCAGTCAAGTGAAATCCATAGATTAGGGCACAATTTATTTATTTCAATTGACATATTTCCTTATATGAACTGTAACTCAGTAAAATCATTGCATTCATATTTTTGTTGTATAGTTCATGAAATGTCATTTATAATAATAAGCCATTTAGCAGACGCTTTTATCCAAAGCGACTTACAGTCATTCATTTGATACAGTAATTCAACATAGGCAGAAAAAAGATTGCGATTAGTGTAGCACAAAATAATATTTTATTTCATAACTTTGAACACATAACAGGGCAGAATAAAATCAGATTAAAAATAAACATTTAACCTTAAATTTAGGCAGGGGAGTCTCATTGAGACCACGGTTGTGCTTTTTTGGACAGGCAAGTGAAAATAGGGTGATAGTTTAGGTCTCAAGGGTCACATTCGCCTTCCAAACCTTGAATTGTGTCAATGAATAGAAGAAATCAGTTAAACTCGCCAAAAATAAGTAAAATTACCAGTTTCTTCATTGATAGTGTAATGATTAAGTCTAATGAGATATTACTTAACTTTCTACCATCGTGGGTTTAGTTATAACGCTGGTAATTCAGATTAATGGCTTTTCAGCAGTGTAAAATCTGCAGAAATGTCAAAAAAGGCATCAGAATTCCAGTAAAAATTACTGAACATGGGTAGAAAAAGCTTAGTCAACACCTCACAAACCAGGAGAGAAAAAAAACTCCCCTACTGCAGGTCCAACAATCCTGCATGATGAAATAACATAAGTCTCAAACCTTAGTCATGGATTGCAAGTTTAATGATTGAAGGTAGACTCTGCAAAATGCCGCTGCCACGAGGAGCACCGCAGATATTGAGCTAAGCGAGATGCTCACGCTTCAACAGTTAGTTGTGGAAATTGACCCACCATCTATACAATATCTCAGTGTCTACCTATAATGATCAATGCTAATATTGGCAGTTCAGTTAGTCAGTCTCTGCACCCCAATTTAGTCAGATGGGTAAACGGCAAAAGTGAGAAGTCATCACAACTCCAGCAGAAGACTACTGAAGGAAAACAATTGGCTACTTTCAGCCCTCGGAGACACTCACCATAGGGTTGAGATTTAAGTCTTCATACTCCACGTACTGGATCAACAAGCCAATCTAGGAGAGAAGAACAGTCTATTAGCATGACTATCATTTGATTGTAGTTCGGCAAAATATGCAGGCAATTATACTGTAGTTCAGGAAGTCACATTCTCAGCACCCCAATTTAGTCTGATGGGTAAACGGCAAAATGTAGAACTCATCACAACTCCAGTTTCATGCACTTATGCCAATCAAAAATGTAAAAAAAAACTCACCACATGGCAAGATTTACATCAGTCTTCAATCCCCATCCTGGCCCATTAACTCTATGAAAGAACAGAAACTTGTTAAAATGATCATTTGATGTGATGTAAAATACATCTCAGAATACTGGTAGTTCAGTTAGTCACATTCTCAGCACCCCAATAATGGTCTGATGGGTAAACGGCAAAATGATTACTCATCACAACTCCAGTAGCAACATTAACAAAAGGGAAAACAGATTTCAAACAGGCCACTCAAGTGGGCTGGTTGTATACTAGTTGGTTAATGCCTGTGGAAATGAGAATGTGTAGGCCTAACTCACCAAAAACAAGACGTAGATCACATGTCAAACTCATTCCACGGAGGGCCGAGTGTCTGCGGGTTTTCGCTCCTCCCTTATACTCCATGAATTAAGGTCACTCCCATCACCTGGTTGTCTAGGCCTCAATTGAAAAGGCAAAACCCACAGACACTAGGCCCACCATGGAATGAGTGACACCCCTGATGTAGATCTTTTATAGCATCTTCAGTACCCTGCCAGCCAATCAGATCTGTGGGATAAAAACATTATTATACTGATGATCATTGGTCTCCAATCGAGAGGTTGTGGGTTGAAATGGTATTCTTTAGTTAGAATAATGCTGGTGGTTCAGTTAGTCACAGTCTCAACACCCCAATTTAGTCAGATGGGTAAACGGCAAATGTGTGAAGTCATCACAATACCAGCAGAAGCACCGACTAGCAGAGCACAGCTTATAGTTAGGAATTAACTCACCTCAGTACACTAGCGGCATAGCCAGCACTATCTATCCCCAAAAAACATTAAACCTGTGAGAAAAAGAAAACGGAAAATGAACTTTGCAACAAGAATAAATCAAATTTGACTGACAGTTGTGGTATGGTCAATTGTGATTATACTGGTAGTTCAGTTAGTCACAGTCTCAGCAACCCAATTTAGTCAGATGGGTAAACGGCAAACATGATAACTCATCACAACTCCAGTATTGTCAGATCAGACAAGCATAGCAAATTCTAGGGCCTTTAAAAAACCCTTGCGGGTTTAATAATGGACGACTCACCTCAGTACAACAAAGGACTTCTGGAACCTTCAATCTCCTTCAAGTCCATGAAAGCTATAAGAGAAACACAAATTCCATTAAACCTAAAGTGAAATTCCTGCTGCTGTATATTTGAAACGCTTAACTAGATTTCGTCACAAGTCACAGCTTACACAGCTGTCGAGTTGGCCAAATTCAAGGTTCAGCTAATTCTGGGATTCAGATAGGCCTAGTCATAACACGCAAATCTTCTACGCATATATTCCAAGATATTGAAGAGCCACATTTTCAGATCTATGGGAAGCATTCTGCACTTTGAAAAAGTCTGACGTCCAAAAATAGTACTCCCAAGTAATTGCCCTTTAGCCGGTGTGGCGCTATTGATTTTCATCTTGCATGGATAAGCTGTACTGAAGGAATAGCCAATGCACCTAGAACTCAACGAGACAGCTAAGATGACTAATGAACTTAGGGTCAGGGGGCACATGTAACACAGCTTGGGGCACTGCACAATGCAAGCCCACACTACAGCCTTTCCAAGGAAGGTTCAACAGCAGGTCACGACCTTTACTCCTTTTGGAGAAGTCCAAAGTCGAGATTCCCCAATGAAGTCATTGCGAAGACAATTACCCGACCACCATGGTATCATTTGATCCGTGACCAGAGCCAGTGTGCAGTAACCTTACTAACAATATGGGCCGAAATGACAAAGGGGCCATATATCATCGGATCTGGGACAAGCAGCTGACAGTATGATTTATTACAATACTGCTGGGACGTTTAGGCCCAAATACACCGTTCGATGAGTCATGATTTCTTCTTGACCATGGGCCCATTCTATTCACATGACCAGACATGATCGTAGGTTTCAAAATTAGTTTAAAACGTTAACATATTTTGGTAAAATGATCCATAATATATTGTGATTGCCAACAGCCCACATACACCGACACAAGTGCATCAAATGTCTGCACCAATTTGAGCATAAACATGGGGAAATCAGTGGTTAATTTGCAAACTAAGTTAATGATTATTAAAGAAATGAAATAATGAGCTGCACCCTTTTACAGACAATATCCATACATTACCAGTCTGTCTCGCTTACCCTAACACTAGCTACATTATGGAGAGGCAAGTCTGCCAACTCACGTGGTCAGTGGCATGGATTCGTGGCCCTCGAGCGCAGTAGCAAGCAAACTGTTTGCTTACTAACCTAGTGAATACAATTGTATCCTTGCTCATTGAAACGGGACGTTTCCAATATCTTACAGAAAACTACTTTAGTAAACAAAATTATTTAGAATCCATTTTTAAGGGCAGGTAAAATCCTTATTTTGACGGAGGTAACATTACATTGGTGTTCAGGTTAGCTACCAGGCTAGCTAGTGTTCTGGCAGTTCCTGGTATTTTATATAGCTAGCTAAAACACCGAATTGCATTATTATTAAATAAAGCTGACTGCCTAATGTTATTAGCCACCTACCTGTTGAATGAACGGGGAATTCAACAAGTTATTGCTCATTTACAAAATAATCTTGGTGTGAGCGCATTCAAGCTCCATGCGTCCTCCTTCGTTCTTCTTCCAGAAAGAAAGATAAGACTTCCTGCTTCATCTTTACTGACATGCGCAGTCTGAGCACACATCACGCAGGCAACTACCAAAAACACACTACACGGTTTCATATATTATTATGAGACAGCTAACTTTTGAAAACGGTGTTTTAAATGAATCTGTGTTTTGGCAATTTCGCATGTGAATTAAAGGTCCAATGCAGCCGTTTTGATCTCAATACCAAATCATTTCTGGGTAACAATTAAGTACCTTAATGTGATTGTTTTCAATTAACATTTTCAAAAATATGCCTTAGCAAAGATCAATTTCTCAAGCAATAATTGTTCTACTACTCTCTGGGAGTGGTCTGAGTGGGGAGGGGAAAGGTGAAAACGAGATGTTATTGGCAGAGAGGTTTGGAACTCTCTTTCTTATTGGTCTATTAACTGTCACCAGGCAGGCCAAAACTCCATCCCACCAAAACAGGCTGAAATTTCAGGCAGTCTTTTCAAACAGCTCTTACACTAAAAGGGCATTATCATCTTAGTGTGGAAATATACACTCAGTAGACCGTTTATTAGATACACCACCCCGTTCACGAAAATGGTTTGTTCCTACAGACAGTGAGTCACAGGGCTGTGGCTTGCTATATAAAGCAGGCAGACAGGCATCGAGGTATTCAGTTACTGTTTCGATTAAACGTTAGAATGGGCAAAACGAGTGACCTAAGCGACTTTGAGCGTGGTATGATTGTTGGTGCCAGGCGCGCCGGTTCCAGTATCTCAGAAACGGACGGCCCCCTGGGCTTTTCATACACGACAATGTCAAGGTTTACAGAGAATGGTGCGACAAACAAAAAACATCCAGTCAGCGGAAGTCCTGTGGGCTAAAACAGCTCGTTGATGAGAGAGGTCAAAGGAGAATGGCAAGAATCATGCCAGCTAACAGGCGGGCCACAAACAGGCAAATAACGGCGCAATACAACAGTGGTGTGCAGAACGGCATCTCGGAACGCACAACTCATCGGTCCTTGTCACGGAGGGCTATTGCAGCAGACAACCACACCGGGTTCCACTCCTATCAGCTAAAAACAAGAAGAAGCGGCTCCAGTGGGCACGCGATCACCAACACTGGACAATTGAGGAATGGAAAAACATTGCCTAGTCCGACGAATCCCGGTTCCTATTGCGTCATGCTGATGGCAGAGTTAGGATTTGGAGTAAGCAGCATGAGTCCATGGCCCCATCCTGCCTAGTGTCAACAGTACAGGCTGGTGGCGGTGGTGTAATGGTGTGGGGGATGTTTTCCTGGCACACGTTAGGTCCCATGATACCAATTGTAGCAAATTGTATCAATTGTACCTTGATACCAAACGTTTGAACGTTTCCGACACCTTGTAGAATCCATTCCCCTGAAGAATTCAGGCTGTTCTGGAGGCAAAGGGGGTCCCAACCTGGTACTATCCTGAACAAAAATATAAATGCAACATGCAACAATTTCAATGATTTTACTGAGTTACAGTTCATCTTGTGTTTTTTTCTAGTATTACATTGTTACTGATTATTGCATTGTTGGGTTTTGAGTTTGCAGGAAAGGCATTTCACTTTACTTGTCCATGTGACATTAAAACTTGAAACTTGAAATCAGTCAATTGAAATAAATTAATTAGGCCCTAATCTATGGATTTCACATGACTGGGCAGGGGTGCAGCCATGGGTGGCCTGGAAGGGCATAGGCCCACCAATTTAGGAGCCAGGCCCACCCACTGAGGAGCCAGGCCCAGCCAATCAGAATTAATTTTTCCCCACAAAAGGGCTTTATTACAGACAGAAATACTCCTCAGTTTCATCAGCTGTCCGGGTTGCTGGTCTCAGACGATCCTGCAGGTGAAGAAGCCGGATGTGGAGGTCCTGGGCTGGCGTGGTAACACGTGGTCTGTGGTTGTACATACTGCCAAATTCTCTAAAACGACGTTGGAGGTGGCTTATGGTAGAGAAATGAATATTAAATTATCTGGCAACAGCTCTGGTGGACATTCCTGCAGTCTGCATGCCAATTGCACGCTCCCTCAAAACTTGAGACATCTGGGCTTTGTGTTGTGTGACAAAACTACACATTTTAGAGTGGCCTTTTATTGTCCCCAGCACAAGGTGCACCTGTGTAATGATCATGCTGTTTAATCAGCTTCTTGATATGCCACACCTGTCAGGTGGATGGATTATCTTGGCAAAGGAGAAATGCTCACTAACAGGGATGTAAACAAATTTGTGCACAAAATTTGAGAGAAATAAACTTTTTGTGCGTATGGAAATGTTCTGGGATCTTTTATTTCAGCTCATGAAACATGGGACCAACACTTTACATGTTGCTTTTATATTTTTGTTCAGTATAGATGGGTGTAATAATAAATAATATGCCATTTAGCAGACGCTTTTATCCAAAGCGACTTACAGTCATGCGTGCATAAATTTTTTGTGTATGGGTGGTCCCGGGGATCGAACCCACTACCTTGGCATTACAAGCGCCGTGCTCTACCAGCTGAGCTACACAGTACCTAATAGACTGGCCACTGATTGTGTATAAAAAAACATGGAAATACAAATTACTATCAGTTTTTCTTTTGAATATTATGCTAAGTCTCCAATTTGCACATTTCAGCAGTGTAACAGTGTCTGAGTAGCCTACATAAAAGTGCAATTTCTAAATTGATCTCTGTCAGTTCGATTTCAACTTCATAATGCCAGAATTATCTCAAAAGTTAGGCTATAGTTTAAAGGGATAGTTCGGGATGTTGGCAATAAGGCCCTTTATCGATTTCCCCTTGCTAGCTGTTCCCATAGACTTCCAGTCATTGCGCTAACGCTAGTTAGCAATTGTGCTAACGGTAGTTGGCAACTTACTTCAAACTGAACACAGAGACATAACAATTATATCCAGTTAATCTGACTCTGGGGAAGTAGATACATTTTATTTTTTATTAATTGCCAAAATCCCGAACTATCCCTTTAATAGAAGTGGCCTCTTGCCGAGTTCAAAACAACTGGGAGGTCAAATCATGACTTCAGTGATCTTCAGTTCGGAAAGTCGGAGCTCTAGAAGAGGCCCGACTTCCCGAGTTGGAATTCCGAGTTGAATGACGTTCAAATTGATTTTTCCCAGTCGGAGCTCGTTTTTTTTTTTGAGTTCCCAGTTGTTTTGAACACACTGAAGTCAAAAGTCGGAGATTTCCGAGTTCCCAGTTCCGAGTTCCCAGTTGTTTTGAACGCGGCATCTAGACACACAATAAACCACACTGAAAGAGTCACTACCATTTTGAATAGGCTTAGGGCCTATAATACATTCCACAATATGTGCCTTGAAATGCATGAAGATTTATTGTAATGAGGAGTTTGTTGTGGTTGCAAAATTGTGCATTTGTGTAAAATATATAATAGGCCTAATAAAACCCACCCATGTATGATTATCAATACACCTTCCTAGACAGACTATTATGTGAACTATATTTAACTAATATATTTATCTGACTGCACATACATGCAAAAAAAAAAGTGCATATTTCCAAGAATGTCAACTCATAATTCCCTTTTTAGGCAAATAATAAAATGGAATCCCTGTTGATTTTTAAGAGATAAAGTCTGTCTTCAATGACAGAACATGTTCATTTAGGCTACTTAGACTAGTAAATCTCAGTAAACGTATTTACAACCGATGGAGTGGGAGACATGTCTTATTTTTATTTCTCAAGTCATTATCCACAAACACATTTACAACTATTTATGTAAAAAACGAAGAGAAAATGAAGAGGCTCCTACCATTGTTGAGATTCTGACAACCCCTTCACATGACAGATGTTAAGTTATTCACACATGCATTTAGTGTAAATGTTCATTACGCAACACACGGAATTGCTAAAAAGTATACACACATGAATCCCTCCAACAGACACAGAACAGCAGAAAGCGGAGCAGAAACACAGCATGGCCAAAATAAGAGCTTTCTCAGATTTTATATACATAACCACATAATATATTAATTTACAATGTGTTCCTACTATTGAAAGAGTCGTGACTGTCTCCTTTACATGAAAATACTGAAGTCAAAAGGAGATACCTCAGTTGTTTGATAAATAAAAAGCACTGTCAGACGACGAATCTGCTGTCCATTTCAAAAGTCCTCATGGGTGGATTTAGCTGAAAGAGTCTTACTAATTAATGGTCGTCTAAATGAGAAGTCCCGTATGCAGTGGATAGCGTTATGTCTGCGAGGTCGACGATGATGCGCCTTGATTTTCTGTCTGTTTTGAATTGTTCAGAAACTGACCGCTGGCGCCGACGTATAACCTGGATCGCATTGGCCACTTCTGTTGAGATAAAAATAGAACAAATTATTTCGCGAGTGCAGTTAACTGATTTCAATGCAACTGAAAATATAATTAACAAATGAAGAAACAAAAATGTTGCTAACAGTTTATTTTAAGTCATTCTTCAGTTGAACACACATAAATGAAGTAAGAAATACATTTAAATATTTAATTGAACACAATTTATGGTGCAAATTGGTGCTTTCAATTACCAATAATAACCATTCCTCTCTATATCATTTTACTAATTAAGCATAATAGGAAGCCTACTCGTTTTAAAGATCTGTGTAATATAAAAAGTTGTGCGATGATGGCTAAATGCATTTTATGCCTGCATGATTGATTATTAGCAAACTATTTTTTTTATTATCGTGTTTTTATTTTATTATATCACGTGGTATATGGAATAGAGCTGACACACAATTATCACACACTTTGTCAGGTTAGTTTCAAATGGAATTTCGATATCAATTCAAAGTCTAAATGTATTGGGCCTACTTACTTTCACAGGGTGCAGGTAACCTTCACCTTTCAGCGAGTGTAAGGCCTCTGTTTGTCTGTTGCTCTCTCCCTCCTCCATCCCCTCCTCTTGCAAGGTTCGAGTCAGATGGGCAATATACGTGGTGGCCAAAATCAACACGTCGAGCTTGGACAGTTTTGTGTCTGGTGGCACCGACGGCAGAGTCCTCTGTAGCTCCAGGAATGCGCTTCTCAGAGTCTGCACTCGACTCCTCTCCCGCGCTGCGTTGGCTGCTGCCGGCCGCCCTCTGCCACCGAGCCCACCCGCCTGGACCACCCTAGAGTGCTGCAGGGCCTCCGGACGCCGACTGTCGGTGGTCAGCATGTCAGGACTGGGGCTGGAGCTGGGGCTGGATGTGGGACTCTCATCCATAACTGTCACTGGGCCATTTCCACTATCCATGCGGATCGTCTGTCTTCCAACCATAGGGAGCATTTATAAACCTGACGGGTAACATATGTCTTGTTGATGAATGTACATTTTCACTTGCCTATTACTTAAACAAACTGAAAACGCCAAGATTGTAATTGAAAGAAAACAAGTTATCTGTATTTTATATTTTATAATAAGCCTACATTAGCCTACAGAAATAGTACACGTTTATGTAGGTATATTGACCAGTGTGCGTAAAGTGTGTACAAATGCATTTAAATGATCTGTAACAGGCCAAGTTAGTTGCTGAACATAAATTAAGGCAGGCATATAAAATCCTCATCCTTGTCTTGAACTGTGTGTGCCTTTTGAACTTGTGTATAAACATGCCGTTGAATATTCAGGCATTTTGAAAAAGATGAATGGTAAAATAGTATTGCAACACATTTTGTATCCAATTAGGCCAATTGGGTAAACTTAAATTTGCATTACCCATATAATGCATTCATTACGCATATCGGCAACATGTACTTAATCAACATGCCATAACAACATTACTAAATTGTTGTGATGAATTTGTATAATCGTATTTTATTGTTCCTTCATTATTGCAATAAAGCATTTGAAAAATAATCATACTGAGACCCACGTGTGTTAACCTTGACCTAAGAAGGCTGCTTTCCCAAGTTCAATTTGACATTAGAATGTGAAACATATAATAAATAGCTCTATGGCAGTTGCATCATTATTTGGTGTGGTGCAGACTAATGTAAATAATACCGATGACCGTGCACGTTCCATCACCGTCATTAAATATGTTTACATAACTGACTCTGCTTGATGGTGATGCTGTTATCAAGAAATCAAAACACCTCATAACCCTCTGAAAATAATATTACTTTGAATGTATTCCAAGCCATGTCGTCTATGAAAATAAGAACTTACCTTCAAATTTCCCCAGAAACGCCGTCTTGAGTAATGACATCAAGGCAATGCAAAGAGAGGTATCGTGCACCACAGACTCCACTGCTGCGCCAATACGAGGTGGAGAAAAGTAGCCCTGCCGCTCCAAGTACAGATAATCTTTATAAAGAGGCGCGGCCGCGGAAAAAGGTGCGCAGTGGTCCGTGTCCATGCGCGAAGTGCTCACCTGAGTGTGTGCGTAAAACTCTCAGGAGCCTCTATTGGATACCCAAAGAGCTGACCATTCTTACACTGCGGAGTAATTAATCATAAGCCCTTAAGACTCCCTGGCAGTGGGAGAGACTCTGCTCTTTCCCTTTCACAACTTGTTTCTGTCAGAGGGGAGAGAGGAGGGAACCCTTTCAACACCAGAGGCAGCATTTTTTCTAGCTGAGCAAACCATGTATTTTCGTCATATTATGGTCACATCAATAAAGAGGGCACATCTGTATTATTACATTGATATGGGTCGTCAACTGATTATACTTAGCCTATACCTGATTCCTACCCAAGTGCTCTGTCATTGCTTTGCTTTCCAAAGGCTTCAAGGGGGCTATATCAGGTACCTGCCCAAATAAACAGTCCCTAATATTTTTGTGCTAATGTTGCAGACGCCAATGGTTGCAGCAGACCATGATGACAAGATGACTAGAGTGTAAGGTGATATGCAAAATTGACTAATTGCCAGGGTGCCTTGAGTTGCAGGTCGCAAAATAGTCTGATTTCCATGAAACAGCTAGGGCTAATAAATAAACTTTGAACAATGCAATCAACATGGGCCTGCATGAGGAAATACTTGCGACTCATAAATTAATCACTGATTTCCAGGGTCCACAAACGGAGATGTCGCCAAATGAATGATTGCAATTATTCATAATATAGGCTATATCCTCAGACGGTTCTTAATAAACATTGTTTTTGTAAGGATGGAGTAACAGAATTGCTTCGGGGAGGGCCACTAATTATGAGGCAAAGCAAAAAGGGTTAAGTAAGCTTCGTTCCCTAATTACCCCACATCTTTCAGGGGTTATACTTTGACATGCCTTTAAAAACCCATTCAGACGTGCTCAGTGATATTTAGACAGGGACTAATAGCATACAATATTACTCCTCACTCGGCGAGGATTTGTTGTGTTGGTTGTGTTGTGTTGGAGGATTATTTCCACATTATGAGGGAGGGAAGGCAATATGCATTAGGCTATCACGCAAATAATATTTTCTTTGCTACGGCACCGCATGCGGTACGGTTGCACATCTGGAACCAACAGGACCTTGAACAGCTTCTACCCCCAAGCCAGAAGGCTGCTAAATAGTTAGATAAATCGTTAACCAAATAGCTACCCAGACTACCTTCATTGAACCTTTTTGCACCATTTTTTTTTCACTCATCACAAACGCTGCTGCTACTGTTTACTAGCTCTCACTTTTTAGTTATATGTACAGTAAATATCTACCTCAATTACCTCGTACGCCTGCGCATCTACTCGGTACTGGTACCTCTTGTATATAGCCAAGTTATCGTTACTCATTGTGTATTTATTATAACTTTTATTATTACGTGTTATTACTTTTCTATTATCTCTCTATTTTCTTTCTCTCTACATTGTTGTGAAGGGCCCGTAAGCAAGCATTTCACTGTTAGTCTACACCTGTTGTTCATGTGACGAATACAATTTGATTTGATGCTCTAAAATTACTGTTTTGTTTTTAATAAATGTTGATCAATTAGCCAAGGCTTCTGTTGAAATTAAAACATTCACCATTTATTCTACAATAATCTTATAATATGACAATGGTGCGTAATCAAGTGCATATCTGACTTCATTACATACGGTTGGTGTCCTTTACAAAACATGTCCTTTACACTGCGGGAAAAACAGACAAAATAGACTGCCTAGGACACCAGATAGTAACTACTCAAATTGAAGCTATTCTAAGTTATTTATTTTGTATAAAACACAAATTCAGATTGGATTTATAATGTGGACTTATTTGGCATAGAGTTATGGGATATAACTTCCCAAATTGGTGAAAATGTTATTTGCAACATCCAATAAATCATTTTTATAAAGTGAAATTGAGACTTCCCAGCATGGACACACCATAGGAAAACACCTTTCTTTGGCATTCAGGGGAATTAATAAATAAACACATCTCTAAAATCTTACACTCCAAAATCCAGGTATTTTAACATTCTTATCAAGTCCACTCAGGTACACACAACAAACAGGCAAAACCATCTATAATTGATGTACAAAATATCAAATGTCTAAAAAACAAAATTACCTTTATTTACACTGCATGACATCATCAGAATTATTTTTTAGTCACATTTCAACTGGGCAACTATTGCAGAGTATAATTTCAACAGACTCCATTGCCATGGACAAAGAGTGCAGGCAGTACATATACAGTATAGTGCATAAAGGGCCTCTACCGCAGTCCATCAGTCACTAACAGTGACAGACCCTAGTGTAGACTCCTTCCTACTGAGCGTTTCAGGGGTCAGGTCTGCTCCTGATGTGTGGCGACATCAGTGGTAGGCTACGTGCTGTGTGTTAGGTAAGGGTCAGACATGAGAGGGTCATCAGAGTGTGTGTGTGTGTGTGTGTGTGTTAGCGGAGCTGGCATGTCTGTCGCACAGGCTGCAGACTTTAGCACATCACTAAGCAGCCCCGCAATCATAGGGATCTTCAGGTTCCGTGGCCTGGGAGAACAGAGAGAGAGCTGACCAGTAAGTGATCATCAACCTCTTTAAATCATATTTGAGTGGGATATGGTATGAAAAAGTATAAAGCAATGTATATTGGATATTAAAGAGAAAGCCACTGTATGAACTGTTCATTTTGTACTGATGGTCAACCCCAGGCCGACAGCAGGGAATAAGTGTTTATTTGCATAAAAATTAATAAAAGCATTTGACAAACAGCAGGCAATTCGTCAAGTATGTATACAAAAGGAAGGAAACAATCAGTTAAGTGAAACATGTTGATGTTTAAATCACTTATACCAACTAAATACACATTTTCTTATTTCAAACTGAGATATACATTTGGCTCTCATTTTTGTATGAATGAATTAAGAAATTAATCAATTATCAAACATGGGTGGGGAGAGCGACTGTATTCTAAATCTGTCATATTGAACAGTCTAAAAACACTGAATGTTTCCACAATTTTGTGTCCCATATGGATGTATTAAAAAACAGTAATAATAAATGACCAAAGAGGCCATTTGAATTGATTGTATTGGTGACAGGCAATGATGATATCTTCTTGATCTGAAACCTTTGCTGCTGCTGCCATTTTATCTTCCTACTTTTCCACTACTGTACTGTTTCGCTTTTTAAAGGCTATTTTTGTTTCTTTTTGAACCATTTTACTTTTACATTTACAAACAATCACAGTAAGGTACTTCATTGTTACCCAGAATTGATTTAATATTGAGATAAAAACAGCTGCATTGGACCTTTAATAAATATGCAACATCCAGGCAAGTTTTTGACTCGTTCTATCTTTTTTAAATAAATGTTTCATATGGTTGATAGGAATCTAGATTGTTACGGTACCTCATTGCTGCGCTGTCCAGTTGTGAGTGTTCAAAGCGGACCTTCCTGCTGGGTCTCCCCCTCCAGAGGATTCTTCTTCCCCAGGGCGTTGCCGTAGTTATAGTTGTACGAAGGATGGGGGCCCATGTGGAAGTCTGCTGCAACACAAAGAAAGACACACACACCCACCTTGTCACAGTTCTGACTAGACTTCGGACACATACACACACAGCAGGACCAAAGTAGGGGCCGCGGTGCGGTGGAACCTTTGAGAAAAGTGTCGCGGTAACATGGGATATGCACGTTTTAAAAGTTCTGACAAAGTGAGTGTCTCTTTTATGTGAACGTCTCTTTTAAATATTTGTAATAAGAGGTGCTTCATTACTGCTGTCAATAATATGGAGGTTGAAATATTTGTTCTGTATGTCTCTATTATCAGAAGGATGTAAAAAGATTGAACAGTACATTATCTTACCAGTAAATAATATGCCATTTAGCAGACGCTTTTATCCAAAGCGACTTACAGTCATGCGTGCATAATTTTTTTTTTTGTGTATGGGTGGTCCCGGGGATCGAACCCACTACCTTGGCGTTACAAGCGCCGTGCTCTACCAGCTGAGCTACAGAGGATCTGCCTGGTCATAATTCTTTCATCTTTCAGTTTTTTCTTGCCGTCTTTCGACGCTTTCCAGTTAATCAGGAACTGCCTGGACAACTCGTTAATTTCCTTCCCATCAAGTTCCTCTACAAAAACAATATTATCATTGTCTACAATTCAATTACGTACCGTATGTGTTATAGAGCTGATATATTTTCTGCAATTGTAGCGAATTAGGTCAAAGGCATTAGTTATTTGAAACATCATCATGAAAAATGTATAATACAATTCCTACGGTCATTAGGTGGAGGTGCGCGGCCATTTTCTCACCCAGTCTTTTGCACACAGTTATCAGCCTGTTTCTGTATTTCGATTTGTGGCAGACAGGATTTCCACTCAAATCCATTCGATGCAGCAGAGGCCATTGACTAAACACCCCCTCTAAATCCTGAAAGCACACAAGAGAAATACTTATGTTGAACATACTGTACTTACAAATGTAAAGGGGTTGGACACTATATACCATTGTAGAGGCTCTGGATAGTCTTTACGTGACAAAGTGGCACTTTAACCTTTGAGGAAGTGAAAATGGAGGACTCTAAAGTATCCATTTATAATGCATATACAGACTGTACTTCGACAATGTATAAGAAGTCATATAATTAATGTAATCAACAAACCACACTCCAGTAGGAGAATCATACTATTAGCAAAAACAAAAAACAACAACATATGATTCAAAGGTAGCGCTGCCAAGAGTAGTCCAAGGGAAACGGTGTAAACAACACATCAGCTTGTTTTAATAAACAGTCGCTGGTGTCATGTGACTAAAAAGCGTGTTGCCTGCCCTGCAGTGTATGTTTATCTAAAGGCACATTAATCCAAGCCTGGACATTTGAATACTCTCTGGACACGCTCTGATTGTTCATTGCCTTCCTGTCTCGGCCAAAGCGCTTCCACTTTTCCAGCCCGCGCTGCAATCAGTTCAGAGGGAACCCCTCAGCGCGGCGCGCTCCCAGGCTTTGATAAATGATCGTGTCAGGGCCGTCACTCACAAGGGCCCTGGCGAGGAGCGGCCAAGCGCCAAATTGCCCCCCATGCTGGGGCACGAAGACTAGAGCAGCCTGACTGGATGAGCACTGTACTGGGCTGCTGGGCCCTGGTTCCTCACTGGACTTAATGATGTACCAGTTATGAACCTGTATTTGACCAGCACTTTGATTCCCCCGTCCTCTCTGGTCCTCTCTGCCTCGTGCAGTGCTAACGGCCTCAGTAGATACCAGCCCATTTGTCACCCTGGCTGACTGCCTGTCATAATCTATTTTAAAAATCCATAATGCTTCCTCTGGATTCTGACCACACTGGGCTGAAGGAGGGATTGATCCTTCATGGTGCTGTCTTTGCAGGATCAATAGTGGCAGAGGGGTTGTATAAATTAAAGGAGATATCCACTAAATATGAGAACATGAGAGCTCCCTCTGACATGTGTACAGCAATTACCTGCTGAGGGCTGCTCTGCTCAGTGGAATATAATTTATGTTGAGTGCCAATGTTACCCATGCTAACGGTGTGCTTTCAATGCCATGTCCCAACGTGACATTATAGTATGGATTAAGAAATAGCTTTTAAAAATAATTCAGCCATCTAGCCTTCCAGATTCACAAAGAGAGAACATTTGTTCCTTTCCTCAGAAGTGGAGCCTCAGGAACTCACAGCAGGTCGTTTTTCAAGGTCAACACAGTGAGCAGAAACCATATCTCTGCTTTAAATGAATCTCCCATCAAGTTCAGTGGTGCTGCTGGGGAGGAGGTATCAAATGCTGGACTCACAAGGAAGGAGAGAAACTTGTGCTTGTTTAAAACTGTCAGCGAGGGCAGCCCCGCGGGACTAGGCCGCTGATTTGTTGAATAATTCTGACCCTGTACGAGTCACAGAGACTGGGAACCTCTGGCGGGATTTGCAGGATTTGGTTCTTTAGCACCCTGCTCTCCATATCATTTCACACATCACTTACAGAGAGCAGCGCTGTTATGTTCATGTTACCCTGATCCGCTTATAGCGAGCGTGTTGATTTTGATACACAACGCCACGCATAGATGCTGTTATGTGGGTACGACATGCTCACAGTTGACACTTTTGTCACGTTAGTAAAGAGTAGAGTAAATGGTGGCTGGTATCAGTTCCATCAGTAGTAGTGCCTTCATGAGGAAACGTAAGAGCTCCTACCTGCATGTCCTGTAGCTGGTTGTCTGCAGCAGAGAAATGTGTGAGTTTCTTTAGAACGGCAAGATCTCTGACATCATCTATGTTGTTCCTGTTGATATTCAAGACACCTAAAGATTTCTGCAAAGAGAATATGCTTTGTAAATACAATGGTAAAACATTTGAACAACTACTTCAATAATATTTACAACCAGTATATATTATTGTTCCTTGATTAACTCTGTAAAATTGTTCAATAAATTGCGTTGGTTCTATAATGGTTCTATTAAATACTGTTGTATTAAATACAGCTGTTGAAATGTGATTTTCGTCTTAGTTTCAGTTCCTTTAATTGGAAGCTGGAGCTCTTACATTTGTGCTGCAATTTATTTCATTATCAAAATAAACAAGAATGTGAGATTTGCAGTTTTTTTACCCAGAGTCTGAGGAGTAAACAGCCCTTGTTGATCTGTGAGACCAGAAAGTATCACAGAGCTCTCTTTGACATCATCAAACTCAGCACAATACCGCTTTTACATGGACTAGTTGCCTTAAGGAAATCTGAGAGACCTTTTCCAGACAAGGACATAATGCAGATTGTGAACATATACATGTATTGTCTGATTGCTCAGAGATGGAAATTATGACGTTACCAATAAAGAGCAACGTGAGATCAATGGTGGAATCCTGGTGCACAGGCACAGCCTGCATTTCAATTGTCAATTGTGGTGTGAAATGAGCTGAAACAATCTCCTTTACTGTAGGATGTGGTTGGTGATGTAGTTGTTTGTTTGTTATTGGGTCTTACAGCGAGGGAGAGGAGAGTCCTGGGGTCAAAGAGCAGCTTCTCTCCACTGGGCAGTCTCTGGCCCTCCAGGTGGAGCTCCTCTAACCCCTCCACCACCATAATGCTGTTTCCCCCCAGGTACCTGATATGGCACAGAGAGAGACACACACACAAATGTAAGATTGAGATGTACACAAACGCATGCAAAGACAAACACCCACGAATGGAGAAACATGGACATATGAACACAGACAGTCAAAAACAGCTGAATGTATCTCCAAAGCTTTAACACAGACGACATACATTTAAACTGGATACATAGGACAAGCTCCTACTCACAGTTTGGAGAGCTTCTGCAGGTTGGAGAGGTTATCTATGTGAGTGATGTTGTTGTTCTGTATGTACAGGTGCGTGAGGTTGGAGGCAAAGCCCAGGTTGCAGATCTGGGTGATCTTATTGTCGTACAGGTAGAGGACTGTAAGGTTTCTGCACATGGAGAGATCGTCCTGCAACACATTCATAAACAAAGAAGATATCCCTACCAAAAGAACAGTGGAGGCTTTGCTGAGGGGAGGACGGCTCATAATAATGGCTGGAACGGCGCAAATGGAATGGCATCAAACAACATGGAAACCATGTGTTTGATGTAGTTGATACCATTCCACCTATTCCGCTCCAGCCATTACCACGAGCTCGTCCTCCCTAATTAAGGTGCCACCAACCTCCTGTGCATTAGAAGCTAAAAGAGAGACGCACAGAAACAAAACATAGCTGGCCTATATTCATTTTGGTAACTGTAGTATATCTTGTAGTATCGTACTTACAATATCCTCTATGTTCTTGTTAGAGATGTTCAGTTCAGGTGAGTGAGTTTCTTGAGGTACTGTGGGAGGGAGTAGCTTCTCTTGTTTTTGAAATGGTGGCTGGATTTGGCAATCAGATCCATGGTGGCCAAAATGATGGCCAGAGTGGATCCCTTTCAGCTTTAGCCAAGCGTTCACAAAACAACCACCAGAAACGTCTGAAAAAGGGAAGCGCATAAGCTAGCTGTAAAGAGTAAAGTCAAAGGAAAATAAATGTCATTGGAGTCTTTCCACAAAAAAAGTTATATATGACCTATTCAAAAATAGATATTTCCTCAATGAAGTATTTTAGACTTTAGGAGCTCATTAAAGTAGAGTGGGATATAAATAGGCCTAAATGAAACCTATTCCCCAATCAGGCCATATATTCCCCAAGCAGGCCATCTATTCCCCAATCAGGCCATATATTCCCCAAGCAGGCCATATAATCCCCAATCAGGCCATATATTCCCCAAGCAGGCCATCTATTCCCCAATCAGGCCATATATTCCCCAAGCAGGCCATATATTCCCCAAGCAGGCCATATATTCCCCAAGCAGGCCATATATTCCCCAATCAGGCCATATATTCCCCAAGCAGGCCATCTATTCCCCAATCAGGCCATCTATTCCCCAAGCAGGCCATCTATTCCCCAATCAGGCCATATATTCCCCAAGCAGGCCATCTATTCCCCAATCAGGCCATATATTCCCCAAGCAGGCCATATATTCCCCAAGCAGGCCATCTATTCCCCAAGCAGGCCATCTATTCCCCAATCAGGCCATATATTCCCCAAGCAGGCCATCTATTCCCCAATCAGGCCATCTATTCCCCAATCAGGCCATATATTCCCCAAGCAGGCCATCTATTCCCCAATCAGGCCATATATTCCCCAAGCAGGCCATATATTCCCCAAGCAGGCCATCTATTCCCCAAGCAGGCCATATATTCCCCAATCAGGCCATATATTCCCCAAGCAGGCCATATATTCCCCAAGCAGGCCATATATTCCCCAAGCAGGCCATATATTCCTCAAGCAGGCCATATATTCCCCAAGCAGGCCATATATTCCCCAATCAGGCCATATATTCCCCAAGCAGGCCATATATTCCCCAAGCAGGCCATATATTCCCCAAGCAGGCCATATATTCCTCAAGCAGGCCATATATTCCCCAAGCAGGCCATATATTCCCCAAGCAGGCCATATATTCCCCAAGCAGGCCATATATTCCCCAAGCAGGCCATCTATTCCCCAAGCAGGCCATCTATTCCCCAAGCAGGCCATATATTCCCCAAGCAGGCCATATATTCCCCAAGCAGGCCATATATTCCCCAAGCAAGCCATATATTCCCCAAGCAGGCCATCTATTCCCCAAGCAGGCCATATATTCCCCAAGCAGGCCATATATTCCCCAAGCAGGCCATATATTCCACAAGCAGGCCATCTATTCCCCAAGCAGGCCATATATTCCCCAAGCAGGCCATATATTCCTCAAGCAGGCCATATATTCCCCAAGCAGGCCATCTATTCCCCAAGCAGGCCATCTATTCCCCAAGCAGGCCATATATTCCCCAAGCAGGCCATCTATTCTCCAAGCAGGCCATATATTCCCCAAGCAGGCCATCTATTCCCCAAGCAGGCCATATATTCCCCAAGCAGGCCATATATTCCCCAATCAGGCCATATATTCCCCAAGCAGGCCATATATTCCCCAAGCAGGCCATATATTCCCCAAGCAGGCCATATATTCCCCAATCTGGCCATATATTCCCCAAGCAGGCCATATATTCCCCAAGCAGGCCATCTATTCCCCAAGCAGGCCATATATTCCCCAAGCAGGCAATTTATTCTCCAAGCAGGCCATCTATTCCCCAAGCAGGCCATCTATTCTCCAAGCAGGCCATCTATTCCCCAAGCAGGCCATATATTCCTCAAACAGGCCATCTATTATCCAAGCAGGACACCTATTCCCCAAGCAGGCCATATATTCCCCAATCAGGCCATATATTCCCCAAGCAGAACATCTATTCCCTAAGCAGGCCATTGATTCCCCAAGCAGGCAATTTATTCTCCAAGCAGGCCATCTATTCCCCAAGCAGGCCATCTATTCTCCAAGCAGGCCATCTATTCCCCAAGCAGGCCATATATTCTTCAAACAGGCCATCTATTATCCAAGCAGGACACCTATTCCCCAAGCAGGCCATATATTCCCCAACCAGGCCATATATTCCCAAAGCAGAAAATATATTCCCCAAGCAGGCCATCTATTCTCCAAGCAGGCCATCTATTCCCCAAGCAGGCCATATATTCCCCAAGCAGGCCATATATTCCCCAAGCAGGCCATATATTCCCCAAGCAAGCCATATATTCCCCAAGCAGGCCATATATTCCCCAAGCAAGCCATCTATTCCCCAAGCAGGCCATATATTCCCCAAGCAAGCCATATATTCCCCAAGCAAGCCATATATTCCCCAAGCAAGCCATATATTCGCTCCCGAGTGGCGCAGTGGTCTAAGGCACTGCATCTCAGTGCTTGAAGCATCACTACAGACCCTCTGTTTCGATTCCAGGCTGTATCACAACCGGCTGTGATTTGGAGTCCCATAGGGCCATGCACAATTGGCCCAGCGTCATCCGGGTTTGGCCTTGTAGGCCGTCATTGTAAATAAGAATTTGTTCTTAACTCACTTGCCTAGTTAAATAAAAAAATATTCCACAAGAAGGCCTGCTGAACACCCCAGGTGTTTGTTTATTAGCTTGACCCTGAGACCAGATCTAAATGTGCATTTAATTGTCTTTCTTAATGAAGACATCGATAAGTGTAAATCTTGCCATGTGATTGGCTTGTTGATCCAGTACGTGGAGTATGAAGACTTAAATCTCAACCCTATGGTGAGTGTCTCCGAGGGCTGAAAGTAGCCAATTGTTTTCCTTCAGTAGTCTTCTGCTGGAGTTGTGATGACTTCTCACTTTTGCCGTTTACCCATCTGACTAAATTGGGGTGCTGAGACTGACTAACTGAACTGCCAATATTAGCATTGATCATTATAGGTAGACACTGAGATATTGTATAGATGGTGGGTCAATTTCCACAACTAACTGTTGAAGCGTGAGCATCTCGCTTAGCTCAATATCTGCGGTGCTCCTCGTGGCAGCGGCATTTTGCAGAGTCTATCTTCAATCATTAAACTTGCAATCCATGACTAAGGTTTGAGACTTATGTTATTTCATCATGCAGGATTGTTGGACCTGCAGTAGGGGAGTTTTTTTTCTCTCCTGGTTTGTGAGGTGTTGACTAAGCTTTTTCTACCCATGTTCAGTAATTTTTACTGGAATTCTGATGCCTTTTTTGACATTTCTGCTGATTTTACACTGCTGAAAAGCCATTAATCTGAATTACCAGCGTTATAACTAAACCCACGATGGTAGAAAGTTAAGTAATATCTCATTAGACTTAATCATTACACTATCAATGAAGAAACTGGTAATTTTACTTATTTTTGGCGAGTTTAACTGATTTCTTCTATCATTGACCATCAAGTTTGGAAGGCGAATGTCCCTTGAGACCAAACATACCCTATTTTCACTTGCCTGTCCAAGCACACCGTGTCTCATGAGACTCCCCTGCTAATTTAAGTTTAAAGTTTATTTTAATCTGATTTTATTCGCCCTGTTGTGTTCAAGTTATGAATAAATATTATTTTGTGCTACCTAGTCGCATCTTTTTCTGCTATTGAATTACTGTTCAATTAATGCTGTAAGTCGCCAAGCTCTGCTAATGGCTTATTATTATTTTATATTAAACGATGTCCTTCTCTGCTTACCAGTCACAATCCCCCGCCACTCATGAACAAGGCTTCATTCCTTTTACACTTCTGCCTCAGTTCCAGTATGCACACTCTTCTGTTGAGAGAAAAACACACATGCACGCACGCACGCGCGCACACACACACAGATCAGAGTGTGACAGCAGGTATTTTTTAAACTTCATCTCAGGGCATGAGCTGAGGCAGAGTTGACATGAATGGAGGGCCTCTGATCGATTGAGATGAGATCTCCAGTGGGCAGCAGCAAGATCAGTGTAGCCCTCGGGACTGGACGGACAGCAGTTAATCATGTTCAAAACTGCCACTAACACTAGCAGCAGCTAACTTACAGGATAAATTCAAAGCCACATTCATTCATATATTTTCTGTAGCAACTACTAACGTTAGCTAGCCAGCTAGGCATAAATAAACATCAAGCTAGCAATGCAGGCTAGCTAAACTTTAGGCTGTCAACAAAGCTGTCAGCGCTAGCCAGCAAAAAATAAACTTGCAAAGTAAATACAAATCTAGCTACCTCTGTAGTATATGAGCAAGTTCACACGTGTGTGGTCTGTAGATATCCTTGTTGGGAATGGTTGCCATGGGGACAACGCGCCAAAGCTGCGTACAGTACTTCTTCTTCTCTAGGTTTTTATGGCGTACCACAACTAATTTGCCGCCCAGTGCCAAGTGATCACATACATCCTTTCCTATGCAATAAAAATATGGAACGGAAATGTTACTTTCCTTCTATTATCTTGAGTAGGCTAATTAACAACCATGGTTTTAGTTTAGTTTTTCGAGCACGAGCTGTTTACACCTTATGTCTATGGTTTACACAAGTGTCAATCAAATTGTGCACCATGTGCAGTTGTAGTCAGACAGATAAATTGATATTCTGCTCATTGCTAATTACTTACAATGGTTGCCTGTTTTCATGCATTTAATTCTTGTCAACGCTCTGTTTTATTTAACTATGAAAACAAATATTTTCGAGTATGACAGTTTTGTGAAAAATTACCAAATTTACATTTACATTTACGTCATTTAGCAGACGCTCTTATCCAGAGCGGCTTACAAATAGGTGCATTCACCTTAAAGCCAGTGGGATAACCACTTTACAATGTTGTTTTTTTTTGGGGGGGGGGGGGGGGTAGAAGGATTACTTTATCCTATCCCAGGTATTCCTTAAAGAGGTGGGGTTTCAAATGTCTCCGGAAGGTGGTGAGTGACTCCGCTGTCCTGGCGTCGTGAGGGAGCTTGTTCCACCATTGGGGTGCCAGAGCAGCGAACAGTTTTGACTGGGCTGAGCGGGAACTATGCTTCCGCAGAGGTAGGGGAGCCAGCAGGCCAGAGGTGGATGAACGCAATGCCCTCGTTTAGGGACTGATCAGAGCCTGAAGGTACGGAGGTGCCGTTCCCCTCACAGCTCCGTAGGCAAGCACCATGGTCTTGTAGCAGATGCGAGCTTCAACTGGAAGCCAGTGGAGTGTGCGGAGGAGCGGGGTGACGTGAGAGAAATACAGGCTGTACAAATACAGGCTGTTATTAATGTAAAAAATATATATTATTATTCTTATAGCACATTTCAGTTAAACGTGGACCCAAAAGTAAACGGATCTAGATCAAACGCAGGAATTCACAAAGGAAGGATTAGATGAATTACACACAAAGCATGTGGTAGAAAATAATTGGCTATGAAGTGCATTACATTATTGCTGCTGCAGTCAGCATGCAGGTAATACAAAACATTTCCTTTAGATTTTTCAATTTTCTGTGAACCATAATTCAATGTAATGAATGCATCAATAGGCTTAATCAATTATTTAAATGATCACAATCAAACGTATTTTTGTAAATGTAGCTAAAATCACCTTGGAATAAATCACACTTTATTGCCTTGTCACATCCTTATGAAAAAACATATTTTGACACAGACTTTTCTGGCTGAGTAAATCGAAAAATATTGGATAAATATAGAGAAAGCTAGAATCAAACAAGCTAAATTCATTTCAGCACTTTTCCTTTCTTCAGAAATAGTCTGAAAACTATTCCATTCCAACACCATAAATCATGTGGTCTTTTATGTACCTTTCTAATGATCAGCTACTTGTGTGGTATTGTAGACCTCTGAAATAAAAACAGTTTTACCTTTCCAGTGGTGGAATGTAAAATATTTTATGTCCATGATTATTTTCAATGAGGTCAAAGGTTAAATAAAGATAAAATAGTGTGGAATATCTCGGACAGGCACACACACACACACACACACAGTAAACAGATCCTGCAGCTACCCCTGAGGCCTGTAGACTATAGTGCCTGCAGACTTGTACATGACGTAACCTGACACCATGTTTATCAGTTTCTCCCCTTCTCTCCAGCCAAGATCACATTGCTCCCAGTAATGATGCATATAACACACCAGGCAGGCTGGGGTCACAGTGCGATTGGCTCGGCGAGTCTCAGCAGTGACCCATGTATTGTTATATAATGTCAAGGCCCGGGCTTCCTGCGACTGAGTGACTTGCCTCCACTTATGCATGCAGGGCACTTGGCAGGGAGGAAATGAAGCGCTATGGGCCCTTCTTTTCCCCCCACACAGCTCCCCTCTAGGGCAACGAGTGAGTTCCAACCCCCTTCACTATAGCCTACACCATGCTTGTTGAGCGTATTCTGAGATCCAAAGTAAACAATTTCCTTGGACTTCTGCAGGGTCATTTGTTCCGCAGGGCCTATAGTTACCCAGTAATAAATAGCTATTCATCATAAGCCTTATCAATCCTCTGTTCTCAGAACTACAGTTAGGCCTAGTTTTTTTAAATCACTATTATATAGTGTTACTATACTGTTTATTATTCTAATGTATTTTCGATGAACTCACCAAATGAGGTGGAATTCCACTGTTTCATAGATGATAGGAAACATATTAAGTGTATGCTTCATTAAAATAAATGTTAATTCAGTAACTTATATTAACAATAGTATTGAATGCTTGGCTCTCGGTTGGCCTTCATTGGAATTCACATTTACTTGTTTCCACTGTTGGTGAAGCATTTGAATGTTCATCTGGTGATGATCATAAGATTGACATGTAGGACTAAATCCAATACGGAACACTGGTCTTATGATATTTAAATGATCATTTACAAACCTTGCATTAGGTAAACAGTATTTAGCTCTAACAGTAACAGTACTGTAATGCACTTAAAGTTTTGGCGAAACCACTAGCTGTGAGGGTAAATTGTTTCCTGTTGTTAATTCCAAAAACTGAAATTACATTTTACATAATTCAATAAATTTCCTCTTTCTAAAACACCACTTTAGGATACACACTTCACCCATTATAATAACGTAAAAAGAACGTACAAATTAAATAATTACAAGAATTGATGCCAAAGCCCATGTACATGAGGAAATGCAGACCCATTCAATGTGCACCAAATATGGTTCCCCGCCTCTGCAATACTGCATCAAAAATATACATTCCACCATTATAATACTAGAAAAAGAATTATGACATTAAACGGTGCCAGGGCTGCCGTGTGTAAGGAAAAGCAGACTCTGTGAGTGTTTGTTTCGATGAAGAGCAGACGGGTTGGGTGAATAGACTCCAGTGTGCACGGCTCCCGTTTCTGTGCTGCATCATTGCAGTGTCTCGACTTGACGACTCGGCAAACCTGAAGGATTGTGTACCACAGAGAGACAACCTGCACCGAGAGCCGCTCCGCGGAGACGTCTCACCATGCCAGCCAGTGTTTACGTTTGAGCCGATGCAGCGGCTTGAGTTTGTTGTTCCATTATGTAATGCTATGAATGGACAGAGTTGAAATGACTGGCTGACTGGTTGTAGGTTTTGTTATGGAGTAATATACCATGGTCTTTGTTAAAGTGTTAAGTCGTGCTGCGAGGGTGTGTGTGTAGTCTACTCTAGCCAATGCCTAACAGCCATGGGACATGAAAATGTCACAGTGCTGTGTCATGTTGAACCCAAAGGAGAATACCTTTCAAAAGTCTGTAAGCATTCAAAAATAAGAAAAATACATTAACTAAAGTTGGAAGCAATTCAGTCAAAACAATGTTTCACCAACCTCAGGAATTGTTAAATGAAAATGGTAATACTTCAAGTCAAGGAGGGAAAACTAACATAGATACACTTTAACACCACTATTTATTCAAGCACTTATGTGAATATAAGTTGAGATCAAACATTCACACTAAAGAATAGGTGAAGATGAAACCAATAAACTTTCCTCAGATAATAAGTGACAGATCGTCCTGCTAACCAGAATCTAAATAGTAATACACACACGAGGGGTGACTCCACTTGGGCTGTTTCGGGCTTAGATGGCAGACGTGTTGATTTGATTGAAGAGTTTATCCTTGATGACTTGAGACATCAGACCATGGATTGCCTCAATGGTTGTCTTGCAGCTAGAATAGCCAGAAAAAAAAGAAGAAAGTTCCGTTTCGCTCTGGACATGAAGAGGTGACACAGACGTCCTATCCATCAACAGACAGGTCAGATGAATTAACAGATAGGTGTTGCACTCACGGGAGAAACTCAAGAAATCCCAACCATTATATAAATAATAAACAGACCTTGAATAGGTCGGTAGGACAATTCTACCTGCTAAAACAAGTAACTAAGTATTCCCATTGCATCTACACACAAACAATGTGTGATCAAAATGGTTACAAAACATATTGTAATAATACAGAGATTCTATAACTTAGAGTAGCAAAAAGCATAGGCCTAAGCAGACATTTTCCATTGATTGTGTTCATCAAAAAAAATAATCCCAGACCAGCACTCCTACTCTGAGAGGCTTTGTGATTCTATTATGGGGTAGGAATAATTGGTTTCTCTGTGTCAGTTGTATATTTCACTGGTGTGTTTAACAGCATCTCAAATGGGTTTACTATTGTCAATAATATCAGCAAAAATCTTTACCAAAGTAACAGTACATAGGGCATTATCAACAATCCAATCCAGTCTGTCAATAACGCAACACATGACCAAAACATACAGTGTGATATAAGGTGCCATGTCAAAAATGTATTGACCTTGCCGATTTGAGAGATCCATACATTAAATCAATCACTAAATAAGCTCTATGCCTGGAAGCCAAATCAATAAATACAAGTAAATGGAAATGCCCAAAAAACAAGATCTAAACTAGATAGATAACAGAAGAGTGGAGGAGCTTTGCTATACCTGTCTCGTGTTGCTTTGGCCAGTTTGTCCTCGGACTTCCTGTCGTGTGTGTCCAGGCCCAGCATGAAGCTTCCTCTTCCAAGCTGAGCCTCCGACTGCTCCAGTTTCTCAGACAGGTCAAACACCTGGCCCGTGGTGTACTCTGAATTCTGGGGACACAAGGACACACACATTGGATTATGTACCTATATGTTATATTGTCATGTACCATGATCAGACGAAAGCATATGATTAAGCATATGCACATATTGTGATTAAGTTAATCAAAGTATGTGGAAGCAGTAGCCTATATACCCATGTGTGGGCTTTCTTTCTTTCTTTCTTTACACACACACACACAAACACACAAACACACACGCACACGCACACACACACACACACACACTTTTCCAGGGAGAATGTTCATGCACCATTCCACCACCACCCTATTTTCCAGGGAGAATGTCCATGCACCATTCCACCACCACCCTATTTTCCAGGGAGAATGTTCATGCACCATTCCACCACCACCCTATTTTCCAGGGAGAATGTTCATGCACCATTCCACCACCACCCTATTTCCCAGGGAGAATGTTCATGCACCATTCCACCACCACCCTATTTTCCAGGGAGAATGTCCATGCACCATTCCACCACCACCCTATTTTCCAGGGAGAATGTTCATGCACCATTCCACCACCACCCTATTTTCCAGGGAGAATGTCCATGCACCATTCCACCACCACCCTATTTTCCAGGGAGAATGTCCATGCACCATTCCACCACCACCCTATTTCCCAGGGAGAATGTTCATGCACCATTCCACCACCACCCTATTTTCCAGGGAGAATGTCCATGCACCATTCCACCACCACCCTATTTTCCAGGGAGAATGTTCATGCACCATTCCACCACCACCCTATTTTCCAGGGAGAATGTTCATGCACCATTCCACCACCACCCTATTTTCCAGGGAGAATGTCCATGCACCATTCCACCACCACCCTATTTTCCAGGGAGAATGTCCATGCACCATTCCACCACCACCCTATTTCCCAGGGAGAATGTTCATGCACCATTCCACCACCACCCTATTTCCCAGGGAGAATGTCCATGCACCATTCCACCACCACCCTATTTCCCAGGGAGAATGTCCATGCACCATTCCACCACCACCCTATTTTCCAGGGAGAATGTCCATGCACCATTCCACCACCACCCTATTTCCCAGGGAGAATGTCCATGCACCATTCCACCACCACCCTATTTTCCAGGGAGAATGTTCATGCACCATTCCACCACCACCCTATTTCACAGGGAGAATGTCCATGCACCATTCCACCACCACCCTATTTTCCAGGGAGAATGTCCATGCACCATTCCACCACCACCCTATTTCCCAGGGAGAATGTCCATGCACCATTCCACCACCACCCTATTTTCCAGGGAGAATGTCCATGCACCATTCCACCACCACCCTATTTTCCAGGGAGAATGTCCATGCACCATTCCACCACCACCCTATTTTCCAGGGAGAATGTCCATGCACCATTCCACCACCACCCTATTTCCCAGGGAGAATGTCCATGCACCATTCCACCACCACCCTATTTTCCAGGGAGAATGTCCATGCACCATTCCACCACCACCCTATTTTCCAGGGAGAATGTCCATGCACCATTCCACCACCACCCTATTTTCCAGGGAGAATGTCCATGCACCATTCCACCACCACCCTATTTTCTTCACCACTACTGAGACATTTAATTAAATAGTTACAAGTATGCCGAACTTGTTAATGGATTAAATGGCTTGTCAAGTCGCCGTGAAAGGGCTTTGGTGAAAAGTTTTGCCTAAGGTGAGGCCTTGTTTTCCATGGAACAGGTAATTAGGAAACAATGACAGGGGCCCAGACTGTGGTGACAGTGTAGTGACTGACAAAGCCTTTCGCCAATGGACCAGTCGACTCCTGACAACTAGTCAATCCATCTTCATCCAGAATGACCAGAGTCCACTGTTTGGATAGCCTGCTGCCTTTACAGACTGTTTAGCATCCACAATGGAAATTCACTGGGGGCTTTCAATCTCTAGAAAGTATTGGCGACAAGGGAGATGATCCGGGGTGAACCACAGCAGCATCTGTATCACCACATCTCCAACGCATAGATCCTTTGTTTAAAGGTTAACATTGTGGCCTCAGTCATATTAATTAACCTATGTTTGTAAATCTGTACAAGTGACTTTTGGAAAATAGAAGATCCCCCCTGGGCCATATCAAATATTTATAATAATGATCTAAAGAAAGAAAGGGATTGTCATTCATATGTATGAGGCGCACCTCATCATATATTCCGGCTGCTCCTTGACTTGGCATAGTATGGTTACATATCTATTTGTAAACAAAAGGGTTCCACAAATGTAGCATTGCTAGATTTAGAGTTATATTCCAAACACTTACCGTCAGAAGACTTGAAGAGCTTAGAGTGTTGACCCAGTATTTATTCCAGAGGAGCTCCAGTAATTTTCGATCAAGGGAAGACTTGAAATAAGTCACCTCCAAGGCATAATACCTAAACAAACAAACATTATTACATCATAATGACTTGAATTTGTGTTGAAGGCTACATCAACCCTAAAAAAATAAATTATATGAAGCATCTTGTCATGTTTACCTAGACAATTTGCAAGATGACGCTCAAGGTGATATGTTTGCCTCAAAATTCTGCAAGTATAAATAAATATCCAAGATGAAAACTCACTGTTTGCAGTGCACGCCGAAGTCTTCGATCTTGTTCAGGGGAATGGTCTGATATTCAGAGGGTCCCTCATCAGGAGGTTTGTAACCCTGAAAAACAACACACACAATTAATAGACTCATGATTTCTGAAAAAGTATATTTACTGAGAGGAAACATAGTCTTAAAATATTTGCAGAGTTTGATAGTGAGAGACAGCCAACTACTAATTAACCACTAATAAACACATTTTGCAAAATGAATAATTAACACAAGGTTGACAATGAATCATAATAGTATTGCTTATAGATACAGCAAAATCTTTAAAATAAATATTCCATTTTGCATGGCTGAATATGGCAAACACATTTATGATCCATAAATGAGACCAAAATGCTGTATTTGCAGTAAGTGTGTGCCTAACTTGTCTAATGCCACATGTAATATGGCTAAACACTGGAATAATGCAAGAAACACATTTTACTCCTTACCTTGGGGTATGTTCTGAAGGCGCCAAGATTGACTTTCCCTGCAGATATGGTGCGAGTGGGGTCGATCTGGGAGGGAGAGAGATACAGTAGAACAGGAAAATGCATTCAGCGGTCAGACAGTCTCTAGAGACCAATCCATGCCGGCCACCAGGAGTGATGTTTTTTTCTTAACTACTGCTGCCAGTGTAGTCAAAGTACACACTTAATTACCCTATGCCCTTGGCACTGCAGCCCTGCAAAACCAATCAAGTGTAAATAGCATCTACTTTTACAAAAGCCAAATATGTGCCAGTGCCTCATGGTGGACTACTACCATACATCAACAACCACTAAAGGGATGCCTAAACCTGATTGCACCCCTCTCAGTTACACATGCATAACCGTGTACCCACAAATTCAAAAGGAAAACCAAAGTACTGTATTTAGGAAGCAGTATAATAAAAGACAAATGGACATTTTAACATGTGTATTTTGGGGGTATTGCGCTATGAGCTGAAGTTGGGGCAGATTTTTCACTGTACTCACCACCACTGCCACAAAGGGCTCCTGAAACTGCTGGTTGAGCATCTGAGTGCTGACATCTATACCTGACAACCAGCAGCCGTAACCTGGGTGACTGTGGTACCAGCCAATGGCGTTCTCCAGCCGACCAACCTGACAGTTCACAAATGGCAAGGCATCAGCATCAATACAATGAAGAGATCGTTTCAACAGTGTCCAATATGTAACCATTGTGATAAGTCAGTCATATTACCTGTTTGGCATTCTCAATGTAGGCAGCCATGTATTCATAAGCCGCAGCCTGGGCGTTGACCCGGGTCTCTGTGCCCTCCACCGGTAAGGCAAAGCTGTCCATGATGTTCATGGTCTCCCCGTCCACTTTCCCCAGCATCAGCCCCATCACCTCGAGGTTGCCCCCGGACCTGGCGTGCATCACCATCTTCAGCAGCGCCAGAGCAGAGATCTTGCAGTACTTGAAGTAATGATGACTATTGGACAAAAATAATATTGGTGTGAATTATGTTCAGGGAATTAATATGGCATACATACACTGTTACTGCCAGTTCAGCTAGCTAACTAGCACTAGCAGCTAACTAGCTAGCTTGCAATGCAGGGAGAACTCCCAAGCAAGCAGTTGCAAAGAAAGAAAAAGGACAACCTATCATTTATCAAATATATACTTACTCCTTTGTCCATGGCTTCGCAGCAAGGATTTCCTGTTGTTGTTTTTTGTCATATTTATATATTTCATCTATGCTCTGAACTTCCTGCATACTGTTTTGTAGCTCCCATGTTTTCTGTGCCATGCTACTCCCTGACATGTTGACAACCTAGTCTCACTACCTCTCTAAAATATAAAGTAATACTAGAAAGAAAACTAGTGTGCTATCAAACGTTGAATATATATTTTTTAAACTGTAATAATAACATAATCACAAAACTGTATCCCTTGCTTCATCCATTCGTTCAGGGAGCCATGACACTGGACTGTACCCTGCTGTGGAGAAGGGGAACATACAACATTTTAAATAAAAAGTGACCGTGGGGTTTCTGTTCAGCTAATGAGTATACGCATAAAATCATCAAATTAATTCAGAAATGCATGTCACAAACAAATAAACTCATGCTTGTATTCATCAACAGCCATGAAACACCCATTAGCGTGATGGTTTAGTCCAAATAACACAGACGAATGGATAGAAATGGTAATACTGACATCTTCTGGGGAATGTGTGAATGCTTTTCACTTATTTATTATTTTGAAACAAAGTCATTCTTACATTTCAATTAGTTTTGAAGGCAAATAATGTCATTGGCTTGATGTAGCTAACTTAGCGCTCTATTACCTGGCAAAATAAAGGTAAATAGAATAATATTCAATGGATTTTTAAAAAAATCGACTAAATGGCTTGTGATTTAAAGCAGGCACGTTTCTGTTGTCTTCCTCCAGGACAAATTAAGATACGAGGAAAACAAAGAATACAACCTCTTTCTTAAAGGACAGTCAGGACAAATAAGGAGACCACCTTCAATTGCTTATCATGTAACAATAGATTATGCATACCTTGGAAATTATGTCGATCTTTTTGTGAAAATATCTCTTGACCTATTCAATGTGTGTTTAATGAGTTTAAGATGATTGTTGCCACATTTTGATAATTTAACACATCTCTTTCCTAAACTACAGGTGCAGGCCCCAGAGCCTGTGAGTCCTGCTGCACTTTGTTCCCCCCAGCCATCCCAGAGGCCCAGCATAACACCCAGCTTAACCATGGAGGCCAGTCTTGGGAGTGACACCCATCCAGGAGGGATGCTGCTACTCTAACCAACAGGGGGACAGGGGAAGAGGGTCAGGCCCCACGAGGGCGAAGGCGCTGGGAGCTCCACAGACCAGAAGAGTGGAAATGGAAAACTGTAATGCACAAGATTTATGGGTCACTGGGTAGAGAGAAGACTGCAGTCAGACACTGGGATCTGTTGTGGTAGTGTGTGATGTGAGGTGCTGCTGGTGGTGCACACTGACTTGGATGTGGCTGCAAGGAGGATTGGTTAAGCTGTGTGTTTTATGAGGTGGTTCATTGATTAGGTGAACTAAACTGCAGACGTTTACCTAGGTACTGTCTGTCTGTGTAACAGTGTAACTGTTCTCCAGTCTTGTGATGCCTGCAGCCATGAAGACTGCCGAGAGATCCAGGTCTGCAGCCAACAAGGACAAGGCCGAGTTTTCCACCGGACTCATGATCAGTAGGAGCCACTGTCATTTAATGCATGTTTAGCATGTGTGTCTGTAAATGTCTGATCTTTAGATAGGCTATATCTATCACAGGAGGTTGGTGGCACCTTAATTGGGGAGGATGGGCTCGTGGTAAAGGCTGGAGCGGAAAAGGTGGAATGGTATCAAATTCATCAAACACATTGTTTCCATGTGTTTGATGCCATTCCATTTGCTCCGTTCCAGCCATTATTATGAGCCGTCCTCCCCTCAGCAGCCTCCACTGGTATCTGTATACCGGTAGGTGTAGCTAACAACATTAGCTAACATAAACATGCAATATGTCATTAGCTATAACACATGCATGTTATTTGTTGTGTGTTGTGATTTGTCTCAGGGGCAGCAGAGGGGGATGTGGCCACAATTTTCATATTATGTCTGTTTATTAACACAGCCAAATAATGGTGTTTTAAATCAAGCTGAAACATACTACACACCATAATATTTGTCTTTGGCTGTGGCTCTTGACGGTGGCTTATAGAATGAGTCTTGAGACGCCACTTGCAAAACATCAAGGAAACCTGAGTCTTCTACAATGCTAATGGATCTACAATCCTTTGCAATCCATTTTGCTATTGTGTTGGTCAAATTATCTGAGGTTGATTTTGTTAATTGCCTGCAAACATTCAGCGTGGTCTGGCGCAAACCACTTGCTGAATCTGACGGCCCAGCAAACGCATGTTTGGCGTTGACATGGTACTTCAAGCTTGAACAGCTCCGGTGAAATTGAAACTCCTTCTTACAAATCTTGCAAATAACCTTGTACTTGTTAACTGTACCATCATCATTATTTTTATATTTGAATCCGTCAATAGGCCCACTTTGCTCACCTTGCTCCATCTCGCCTCTAGCTCCCAACCACTTTCCTGACCTGAATAATTTGTCACACTGCGCATGCGTGAAAGGCGTTAAAAAATTTGAAGAATTAAACAGCAAACCAACTAATTAACCGTCGGTAACGCGATATTTGACAGCCCTAGGCCACACAGAGGAGGAAGGACCGCTACAGACAGGAGCTGTTTGGAACAGATGGTCCGAGGGGCAGAGGAACAAAAATAAGTGAGTTGAACACGGTGACATTTGAGATTTCATGGTATCTTTCACACCAATATTGGCCAAGTTGATTGTCAGATAGGACCAGGACCTTAGGTTGGGTGATGCACTGTGAATGTCAGTGAATAGTGTGTAAAAAAGATCTTGAGCTGAGGGTTGCTGCCACAGGGGCTATTGACCCAGAGAAACAGGTAAAAGGGTTGTTCAAGAAAGTGTTAGATAGTTAAATGAGTACAAGCATCTTTTTCGAGTGTGTTTTGCAGACAGCTTGTCCTTGAAACTAGGGTTAACTAATTTATATGAGACTGTAAGGTCATGGCTTAAAAAATATGCTGTGGTGGTAACAATATTGTAATGATATAACAGTACCAGATGTTAAATCATGTGAGTCTTTCCAGCTCTGGAGGAACAAACAAACGCTTGTCATATGTCATACCAAGATGTGTTTGTTTGTTCACTCATATCCAGTGACAAGTGTGACTGTTTTCAGTTGGGATTTTACGTTTTCATACCTCTCAAATGTCACCGTGTTCAACTCACTTATTTTTGTTCCTCTGCCCCTCGGCCATCTGTTCCAAACAGCTCCTGTCTGTAGCGGTCCTTCCTCCTCTGTGTGGCCACATCCCCCTCTGCTGCCCCTGAGACAAATCAAAACACACAACAAATAACATGCAGCTACCAGTATATAGATACCAGTGGAGGCTGCTGAGGGGAGGACGGCTCATAATAATGGCTGGAACGGCGCAAATGGAATGGCATCAAACACCTGGATACCATGTGTTTGATGTAGTTGATACCATTCCACCTATTCCGCGTCATACCTAAATAGCCTGTTTTTGTATTTTGGAAACATTATTTCACATTAGCACTTTTTCTCACAACAATGGCATGGTCCTCTGTAGCTCAATTGGTAGAGCATGGCGCTTGTAACGCCAGGGTAGTGGGTTCGATCCCCGGGACCACCCATATGTAAAAAAAATGTATGCACACATGACTGTAAGTCGCTTTGGATAAAAGCGTCTGCTAAATGGCATATTATTATTATATTATTATCAGCACACTTCACATCGCTCTGATTCAGTCACATTGATAATGGATTAATGTGTTTCTGTCCCTGAATTACTATGTACTTTACCATAGTGACTAGCAACTAGCAAGTGTTCCATCATTTTTTACCATGAATCACATCCACCCTTACTCCCAGCCCGACCGCATTAAGCAGTTTGGGGCCGGTGAACCGCGACTACGAGGGCCGGAAACGTGAGGTCCCCTATAGACCCTGGGTAGGCCAGGACACCCTGGGGACCAACTCTTGTCCGAGGCCCCAGGTGGGCACAGAGGAGAGAGATCACCCTCAGAGGCCCTGTGTTGCCTTCCCCTCCCCTTCAATGGAGTACACTAACATCCTGGGCCAACTAACAGGGGCAGGGGGGCCATGGTTAGGGATGGGGGCGGGAGCAGGGGCAGGCATGGGGGTGCCTGGGGTCGCCCCTCTCAATGAAGACTTCCACAGGAGCCTCTCTAGTACCCTAGGAGAGATATTCACCCCAAAGTACAGTGTAACAAGAACAAAAGTCTATCTTTACTTTGAGTTGTTGTATTTTTAGAATGTGTGTACTAAAATTGGGTGCATGTGTGTGCCTCTTTTTCCAGAATTGCTAGCTTACCTCCTCCATTGCCGCCCACTCTAACTGCTGCCTACAGGACTCCATATGATGAGGCCTATTACTACTATGGAGCAAGGAATCCCCTGGACCTAAATCTGCTCTGCTGTTAGTATCTCAGTTTACAACTGGCCAAAATATACTGTACAGAGGCCTCCTGACAGGATGTGACCATAATCCGTTTCTGTCTTCTTCTTTTGTAATATTGTGCACGCAGAGGTTTAGGATGTCTCTCTATCCTTAAAATGAGACTTCATTGCAGATGTATTGCAGGCTGCCATGCTGTGCCGACAATTCTGAATCACTGTTCTTGAGTTCTCGTTGTAATATCTGGTGACTCCATTGTTGGCGGTAAATCATCCACTAAACCCCCCGGAGCTCTCCATGGAGGGTCACCACCAATTATTATGAAGCCTCTATATCACCAGATCTATGGCCAACAGGGCTTGGCATGCTTTCCCAATAATTCTCATATGACCTGCTACTGATTTATACTGCTCAGGAAGGGACAGTTTATTGCAAATGACTTCAACAGACTCCCAGTTCAGATGTATGTGAGCAACTGCATCCAATATGCTCCACTTCTGGAGAAATTCCTCCTATTGTTCAATAGCCAATTCACCCTATTCTTAATCAAATGGGAAGGTATCCATCCAGGGCTTAGGGATGTGTGTGAATTGAGAAGTTTGGGAGTTTGTGTGACTCGCATAAATTGAACGGCTTTGTGCATGTGTGATTCCAACTTATATTGTTCTGTCTTTCCCATTAGATGGTCCTCCAGGAGGTGGAGGGCAGCCCATGGTCTTCCCAAATCTGCCTTCAGGAATGATTTCTCCGCCTGGGCATCAAGGGGCCCGATGTGTGTCCTTAACACAGGACTTGCATATCTTTCCACTTTATCTAGAGACCTGCACACAAGTTATCCACTCACACCAATTAATTGTCATACAGCTCATTGCTAAGTAACACAGATTCTTTAGTTTTTTAAAGAACCAGAAGAGGGCACCCTAAGCA